AGAAGTCGAAATTCAAAATAACCTCCAATCACGTAAATTTGTGAGCATTTAAAAAGTTTGAAGTGATTTACAGTCAATCGTAAGTAAGTTCCCTTATTAGGGAAGTATCTGACCCATTTCGAATATAAATAATTGTGAGTTTTCGCGTGTAAATTAACAGAAACGTTTATCATGTAACGAATAAGATAAAAAATGAAGCACAAATGGCTTTAAAAATCAATGTATGAGGCTCAATTAAGTGACGTATAATTTGTTTTAATTATATTGTAGAATTTGATAGATTTGCATACCCTTTTTCTTTTAATATACAGAACATTCCTTCCTCATTCTCAGTGCGATCGCTATGTGCTTTTCTTCCAAATTATCGGAAGATCTGGGCTGAATTCTTATTTATTCTTGTTGTTTGAGCTCCCAAGATTCGATTTTCCCAGATTTATTTAAGCGTACTATAATGCAACATAACAAATGTGAATTTTATCCATTATTTAATTGATATATGCAGATTTCAATATAGGTAACTTGCAGGAATTGTGTAAGATAGGTATTTAATAAATCTGAATATTAACGAAGTATAAATTTTTTAACTAAAGGCTTAATAAATATAAGTAGAAAATGCTGAAATTTATAATTTGTCAGATAAAGTAGAATTAATGGTAAGGTTTACACACATTTTTAAAACTTTTTATTGTCCATAAGTTAAATTATTTCAAAGCGCGATGCTACAAGTGTGCTGCTTGTTTAGTATGTGGAATCGAAAGTAAGTTTTGGGGTCACGGAGAAAGACGGTTTATCGGTATTCGTAACATAACTGTAAAAGTAGTTTGATCTGTTTCTTCACCGGGTAGTGGTAGAATACTTTCGACTTTAGAGTTCAAGGAGATTTTTTCCCATTATTAAGGACAGTTTTAATCGGCATTGCGTTATCTGTATAAATTACGATGCATTATTTACTCTTTCGAAAAAGTGTATTTTCCACTTAGATTAATGAAGCTAATTTATGTAAATTTTTTTTTCGCCTGGAAAAGAAAAGCCTTATTTAAATTCAGATTGACTCCATAGTGAAAGATACTGTTAGATTAATGAAGCTGATTTATACAATAAATATTTTTTTTCGCCTAGTAGGGTATTTTTAATTTCCGATTGAATGCGTAGTGAATCGTATTGTAGATAACGATAGGCGTATTTCTTTATCTGCTGATACCTAGTTGAAAATTATATTTATATTCGTAACAGCGAATACAATTATAAAATCTGGGTTTAACGTGCAGATTTGCGCATGGCCAAATGTTTTGAACTTGGGTTGTGTGCCCAGAGTTCGATTCCAGCAACTGAAGAGTAACAATCTACTGCATGCACTGTTCTCTATATTCATGGTCACGGTGCAACGTAAATTCGACTCATGTTTGATTAGAAGGGACCATCATGAAGGCGTATAGTTGCTTTGCAACAATAAGTTGAACCAACTTCCTTCGCCGAGGTAGTTTCCATATCAGACAGCCCTTGATTGCTTTGTCGCAATATGTAACTTTAAATTAATTAGCTAGCGATTCATCTTCAAAATAAGCTTTCTTATTTTTTGTAGACTTTCGTTACGTGTTGTTAGATATATTAGTCCATCGGAGTTTTGAGTAGCTAAGTTAGCGCTCGTATTTCTTTTTGGGCTCGAGCGGGTTGTATTGAATATATAGTTTTCTCCTCCTCCCCCCCCCTCCATCTTGCCAGTATAACGAAAATAGAGGCAGTATTCCTACAAAGGCGGTTTCCGTCTGGCCTTTACAAATCCTCGGTATTAAGTGTGAAGTCTTTAAATGCATTCTTCCTTCTCGTGCGATCTCGCGCATTGTTTTGTGAATAAACCAATCAAATTTTCCTCCTGCTACTACGAATTGAATTAACCTAAAAAGGAATTTTTGATATTGGCGAATCACAGATTTAATACTGTGAAATAAATTACTACAAATTATTTTGTTCCATTTCTTTTATTAATATCAATTTTAAAAGTAAAATTAGCTCCGATTATAAATGTATTTTGTTCTTTCTTTGAGGTATTTAAATTTTATTCCTAAAATTAACGCTAATGAAAAGGAAATTAAAATTTTCGTGGAAATAATAAATCCGAGCCATACACAACTGCCACTATCCGATAAGATAATATTTTTCAATATATTAGGGAATTTATTCGCCAGCATGTAATTAATATTAAATTACATATCCTCGGTATTATGTGTGCTATTAAGTACGCATATGTACGTTATTTAAATTACATGTAAGTAGCCCAGATTTTAAACTTAAAAATATGCCGAGCTAGGTTTTTTTTTTTTTTTTTTTTTTTTCTCCTCCAGATGTGGATTTTGATTATGAGCGATACCAGTAAAATGAGATAGGATAGATAAGGGCGTTGATGACTGGTAATGCAGTTCTGTTTCGAATGAGTTTATTACATGAGTGTTTTCGTTCTTTTCATCATAAGTAACATGAATATTAGCCAGGTTCCCTTAGAGAGACTACTCTAGAGTCGCCCACCAGCGGCTGAGCGGTAAAGTCTCTGAATACTGGTAGTTCAGCCCGAGTTCGATTCCAGTCAAACTGGCTACCTGTATAGGCGTTACCATACTGTTTCTCATGTATAACGTATATACGAGCCATTTTCCCTGAAGAAGTCCTCCATGAAGGCATCACTTCGACAAACGTCTTCGCGTGTTTTAACATACTTAAAATGAAACCAATGATGCCGTAGTTAAGTAAACAAACGAACATGACGAGAAGTAAAGTGAAGTCTCAGTTCTGTCATTTGTATCTGTATATGTCTGTTCGCTTTCATTGAATTTATTTCTGATCAAAGGAAAGAAAACCGCGGGAAATCGATGATGACATGCGCAGCAAAGTGTGCCGAACTTTAGGTGGTATAATTCTTAGTTTAATCTGAAATACAGTCACAAGAACACTGTTTTCTACCTTAGTCGTGTGCTATTTTTTGTTCCGGATCATTTCGAACGGGTGCCTAAATTATTTTTAGCTTTGATCGATTCTGGGTTTTTGATTAAATAAAATTAGCATCCGGAGTATTTGCTCAGAAGTTTCTAATATCAGCGAATTTTTAGTTTGAGATATCCAAGAAGTAAGTGGGATCATATTTTATAAAAAATTTCATTACCATTAACATATATTGGGGTTTTGTAGCGTTTATACCCATCTTCATTATTTCTATTTATTTCATGCTATAAAACGATTAGACGCGTAGTAGCAACTTCGCATAGCATCTAATTTTTACATTTTAAAATTGCGCGGGTTGGGGAATGGCTCATCCGGTTTCGCGACAGACGAGAATGCCCTTTCATTTTGAGTGTAGGATAATTGGTACGTTAAACAACATACAGTATCACCAATTTATAGGAATAGTTTTGGGACATAATTGATGCTTTCTGATATTCTTATTTTCAAGAAACATTCAACCCTAAAAATAATGGCTAGTCAACTACGAAGTAAAGTAAAATACGAGCACTTTTTATTTTAATAAACTTTGCAAAAATCTGCTTAAAACGATATCTCATTTTTCTTACTTCTCTTGGATGGAGATTTTTTCATTTAAGTAATTTTAACAAAGATCTGAAGTTTATTATTGGTAGTGTCCGAGACATTTGCTAATGAAATGCGATAACAGAACTTGATGTTATTTTTAATTTTAATAGAAAAAAAGGAACCATTATTTATTATCGTAAAAACGAAAGATTTTAGCCTGACCATTGTTTTTCCCGATGAGGTGTTACGAACCGTGGTACTGAAATTAGAGCTGTGTGCTAATAATTTCATATAGGCGGAAAAAAAATTTGATGTACTGTATGTTATTTAGTCACGTAAATGTGCATTTCCATTAAAGCTGAATCTGTGGTATTTTTTTACTGAATTATCTACTGGAGTATTAACATTTTTGAAGTACATTTAGAATTTAAGTAAGCGTTATAAATGCCACGAAGCACATAACTGTTTTAAGGAATTTTGATACCCATCAATATTCTAAAGTTTGAAAAAATGTTTTGAAATTCTATGGAACTTTGATAAGCCTAATTTGCAGAGAAAAGAAGAATCTTTCGAGTAATGAAAATCCGATTTATCGAAAGCATTCACATACCGAATTTCTGTATTTATAACATCTTGGAGAAACGGAACTGCAGTATTGCTTAAAATACGCTGTGTTCTGTATGTCTGTTGAAGATTTTGTGAGATGTCCCAAAATTTCCGACTCCGAGGCTTGTACTTGAAGTGGATATGTAACAGTGGTTTATGGGCAGACGAACAAGAAGGAGAACCAAAATGGCTGGAATCAATGAAGTATCTGAAGATAGTTTTCAGAAAATCGGTTCCATTTGCTGTTTTATGAATGTATCTTAAAGCGTGAAGTTTCGTTTAATGAGTATATCTTGTTCAGGATTCGATAAGTAGCGTTATAATGTAAATCAGATAAGTTCTGAAACTTTGTTATGGTAGGTTTTATTTTGCATAAGAAGTAATTGATAATATTTATGATGATTTAAGTGTTTACTATAATTACGTATCATCTGTACTTTTCCTAATTAAATGTATATTTTCCTTATCCTTTGTGTAACTTGTATTGTTTTGTTTATTCGAGATAAGCATTTTTTTCAATATTTCCTCGGGGAGCTGCATCTGTTTTTCCTCCTTTTTTTAGCCAAATTACAACATTTTTTCCTTTTCAGATTTTCATGTGGAGGTGAACTAATGCTTTTGTTTAGTTTTCAGGAACTTGGACGTTTTCTAATTTACTACTCATTTTCAGCATAACATATGATATATCTTAATTAGCTGATATAACAGCTGAAAAATTGTTGATTTATGCGTTATGTGGGAGCTGCAAATCCATCCTTATTTGTCAAATTAAAATACTTTATCAATTTATATTCTGGCCGTAGCGATACATCATTAGATTTTTTTTTATTTTCCCTTTGAAATGATTTTTTTTTCTTTTGTCCTTTTTTGTATAGTTTGATGAAGAAATTTTCGAAAAAACTTGTCAGCCGTTGTGTTTATTGCAATGTACTTCAAGCTACACAACCAGAAATACTTTCAGAGTAAGTGTATTTAAAGAGTTAAGGTTATTTTGTAACATATTTATCTGAAAGGGATTTTTTTTGAAGTACATTTATATAGAAATTAGATTAATTAAAAGATTTGCTTTAAGTAGTATATTTCTGAAATTCATGTTCTGAATATCTGTATCTAAATTAATATCGGTTTAAAAATTAATGTCCATTATAATAAATATTACTCATTTGACAAATACGGAACCTGCAACGTGTTTAGACGCAGTTTTTGGTTATGCTTCCGCATAAGCGTTTAAGTTGCGTATTTCGAAATTAATGATGCAGAAATTCGTTTGAAATAGTCAGATACTGATAATGTGTAGACATTTTCTGTCTTGAGATTTTAGCAAATTATATGTTGTATGTGTTATTTATTAATACTTTTCGCTTAGCTATACGATGAAAGATTTTCTTCTTAACATTTCACTTAGTTATCACTTGGCCGACTGAATGAAACTGCTTTGATTCGTGAGATATTTATATAATTACATTAACGGTTTTCCTTGTATGTGACATGAATGGAAATTAATTTTCCTCAGGAAAACTTAATGAAGTGTCCATTCTCTTATGTATTTAGTGTTTGCTATAATAAAGCACTGGCTTGTTTAATAATTTCAAATTTTTGACCGTACTGGTCAAAAAATTGACCAGTACGGTCAATTAATCACGCTTTTTCATGGTCAGTTGATTGTCCATTCTCACCGCAGACTTTGCTGCATGCGTTTCTGTGATTTTTGTTATCGCATGAGGTCTCTTTGTATACTTTCTAACCCTATTTCAATCTCATCTACATTGTCAGAAAGAATTATTTGTCTTGACGTTGCAAAGGGGGAATGCTGTAGGAGAAGTAAAAAGATCGTTCCATTGGTTCTTGAATCGCAATATGCTTTAACAGGCAGTTAGTGACACATGAACTGAATATACGGAAGAGACATATACCAGTTTTTAATGTAAAATTACATTTAGGCAGGTCTCTCTATCTCTCTCTCTTTTTTTTAAATATATATTAAGGAGGGGGAAGAAAAGGCTCAGCTAAGGAAATAAAATATGCACAGTATATGCTGTTTAAAGAACAGAGACCTTGTTGCATGAAGTTGAAAAGTTTTCTTAAAATAACACCATCTGAAATTGATTTTTGCTAATTTTGTATATATGACTGGGATTAAGGTTTGTAATGCAAGTAAGGAAATAAATGGCGGAAGCCTTATTGTTGACATTTCTTGCCATTTCGTTAACGTTACAATCTGCTTTGACTGCCATCTTTCAGTCGTACATTCTATACGCAAGCCGTCAGCAACTGAGATCTTTTATTTGTATTTTTGTGGAGAGTTGTATGATTATGGTCACTTCAGTAATAGAATGATTAATCTAACTGTCGACGATGTGCCCATAATATACCTTAGTAAAATTGGAATTTTTTTATCCGTTCGGTTAGAATAGACTTCTCAATTCCCGGAAAGCCTTGTTCTTCCAAATTGGGACAGGGCTGTTCAGTTAAGTGTGGAACTGTCAGAAAGTTGGCGAAGAACTGGTGGCTCCCCTACTTTTCCCCGTCTTGTCTTAAGACTATGTATAGCTGGTGACTGGTTTTGGGTTCGTTCCATTATGCCCCGGAGAAATGCCTGTAAAACTATCACTAGTGTTTTGGTTGTTCACTGTTTAGATGAATAGGAGGGTATGCAAAATGCTTAAAACCACACATTTTGTATTTGTAAAATTAAATTGTTGTTTCCGCTTAGTCTGTTGATAATTGGGAGTACCTCTTTTGCAGAAATTTTAATAACTGAATTTTAAAAAGGTTGCCGTGGTAATATATCGATAGAATTTATTTATTTTCTTGTAATTCTTCGTATTTACGTCTCATTTTCTTGTATTTTGCATTTAAATAGTTATCGTTTTGCTTTTTTATTTTCAGGTATCTAGATAAAGGTGGATGGGAAACTATTAATACTTGGCTTCAGTACGCAAAATCATCATCGTCTCATTGTTTCTTGTTAGAAATGCTCAAATTGTGCAAACAGCTACCTATGACTTTGAGCAGGCTGAAGGAAAATAATACTGCGAAACTGATTAAAGCATTGACGAAGCATGAAAATTCAGGTACGTTTTTATGTTTCATTTAGTTTACGTTTGATTTGCAAGGGAGTGCCGCCCCCTCGTCCTTTTTTTTTCCCCATATAACGGTAGTTAGTATAGTAGTATACCTTACGTAGAAAAATAACAAAATATGTATCCCGCATATATATTTATGGTATGATTTTATTTTAGACAAATATCTTTGGTTTAGAGTAGAAAAATTCAAAATCAGATGCTAAGAAGCATAAGCTTAATGGCTTTCCGTCCATGGAAGTCTTTTGAACCTTATTTTTTATTTTGTGAATTCAAGCGGTCGTTAGGAAAAGCCATTTTATAAACAAGTTAATTGGTATAACGAACTGTAGCTTGTGTTTATTAGTTTTTTACTGGCCTGGAGAACGTTTTCGTTTGTTGTCATTTTTTTTAAGAGACTCTTTACTTTTAAGTTGTTGATAGACATTCAATGAGTTATTGCTGAGTGACCAATCAAGTTTTATTCATATATCGGAGAAAAAGTGATTACGATATAACGAGTTTAAGGAAATTATTACGAAAATTTCCGTTCATGAATGCAGCATAAAATAGTTGCTTAAAATCACCTACTTTTGATAATTAGAATCCGAACATTTGTGATTTAATTAACTTTCAAAAATTGTATGACCTTTGACAACAGAGTAAGGCATACATATTATTAGTTAAATATTGCATTTGATAAAAATATTAGATTTTGATTCTGCTGTATTGTTAGCGAATTGGACCGATTGTGAATGGTCTTATAGTTTGCTGTTTAAAGTAAAATGAGGTGTGTGTGGAAAGATTAATCTTCTAGCAAAATCCTTCATTACTTAGAATTGTTTTGAAAACTGTTGTACACCTTGCACAAAAAAAAGTGAGTTTATCTCCCGTTCTACTGGTCTGATTGTCGAAGTTCAACTTGCGTTTTCCATGTCTCGAAAGCGTGACTTAGGATATATATATTAAATTTATATATAGCATTGTTCTAATGTAGGTATTTTGACACAAAACCGGATTTTTACGTATCGATTTTTTTTCCCGTATTTCAATTCTATGACTCAAATTATGCCAAAGTGCTAAGTTTTGTAAAAATCGCACGAGTATTTTTTTTAAAAAAAAATTAGCTCTCAAAATTTTAGCTTCTCCATGCTCCATGGTATATATTTATTAATGTCTCTTTTTTTATTAAACTTGATTCTTCCTTTCACATTTCGAAATTTAGGTTCATTCAAAATAAAATTCGCCCATTTTTTATGATTTATTTTAAAATAATTTTTATACATTTTACTGTTGTGTTAAAGAAGCTGTATTTCTGAGCATACCTGCAAAAAATTAAGGTTGATCTTTACATTATGGTAACTTGGCGTTTTTTGGCGAAAATTTGGCGACCAACTCTCCTACAGCTACCCTCTATTTTTTTTTCCTGCCGCCATTTTGTCTTCACGAAGTAAAGACATGTTTCTTTTCTTTTTATCTACCGAACACTTCTTCCAACAATCTACTAGCCGAATTACACTTATGCTAGAAATTTTATCTAACAAAACTGCTTAATCATGACAAATATTCACTGCAAAATTGGGAAAAAGTGCACAATACCATACTCCTTACGCGTTTTTCAAAATAACCACATACACATAAACCATGTACAACGCCGACTTATTTTACTTAAAAAAACATCCCAGAATTACACAAAAATGGCGTTGCACACACTCTTCACCATATCCATGTACACTGCTTTTTTCTCATAAATTAGAAAAATTTCACGAAAATACATGACAATTTTCTGAATCTTTAAACCCGGTAAAAAGAACATATATGAAATTACCTGATCGCGAAAACGTTTATACCCTTTCCAAATATGAACATTTCCACATATAAAATAAATAAAACATCCAAAAACTTTTACCTCTAAATCATCTATTACATTATACGCGTCACCAACGAATTCATACCGCAAGCATTACAAATACTTAGTATCAAATATTTAAATTATTTCCATGCACGTTTACTTCAACTTAAACGTGTACCAAATTCCTACAAACATAAAATTCACAAAATAACTATCATTTTAATTAAAATATCACTAAACCATGTACACGTCGACTTATTTTTACTTAAAAAAAAATCCCAGAATTGCACAAAAATGGCATTGCGCACACTCTTCCATATATCCATGTACACTGCTTTTTCTCATAAATTAGAAAAATTTCACGAAAATGCATAACAACAATTTTCTGAATCTTTAAAACCCGGTAAAAAGAACATATATGAAATTACCTGATTGCGAAAAAGTATATACCCTTCCAAATATGAACATTTCCCCGTATAAATAAATAAAATATATCCAAAAACTTTTACCTGTACATTATCTATTATATTACAAACGTCACTAACTAATTCATACCGCAAACATTACAAATGGTTACAAATACTTAGTGTCAAATATTTAAATTATTTCCATGCACGTTTACGCAAATTACTTTTACTTCCACCTTACATTTAGAACAATGCATAAAAATAATATCCTCAAATAATTAAAAATACTAACTTACCTATTCTTCTTCAGAATCTTGATTACGTGTCCGATAAACTTTTCTTATTTCTGTTTCAGGATCTTTAAAATCATACTTATAGTTCACAGCAAGGTACCAGGTAAAATAAGTAACTTAATAAAACATCTTTACTTCTATCTCACACAACCTTAAAGAAACACTTATTACTACCCCTTTCAATTCCACTAAATACCCATTCCGAATTCACTTTAGTTAGGGCCATGGGATCCAAAAATTAACAAACTCTGTTTCACACAACACAGAATAAAGCCAAATACAAAATTTCCCGATTTCCCCCCTTTTCCGATTAAAGAACCGTAATTCGTCCATTAATATCACATGACATATCCCATGATCTCTCATTTCCCTCACACAAAATAATGCGTAATCGGAACTGAGTACTGCTCACATTATTACCAAAGTCCCAGGTAGTAACCTTTATCGCCTCCAAAATGTCGCCAAACTACCAGTTACCATATTCTAAAGATCAGCCAAAATTAAGAGTTTTGTATTCAAAATTTCCCAAGGTGTACGTGAATTTACATTTTGGTGCGTTTTGAAGTTTTGCATAATTTGTTATAAGCGACATTAACGCCAAATGCGGTTTACACACTGTGTTAAAATTGTTTGAAGCTGTGAACGATGACATTTTTCCGCTCATGTACAATGAAAAAAGGGAAAGGAAAATAGGTTGCTGTAAATTCAGAAGTACGCCAAGTGACTTATTCTTAATGCAAACTGAAAAAAATGTGCCAAGATAAATTTTTAAAATTTTCACCAAAAATTATAAAATTTAATATCTAGGCATAATTTGAATCATAGAGCCAAAATATTGGAAAAAAGGGGTATGTTATATCAGGAAAAGTCTGATTTTATGTTAGAATAATGCTATATATAAATGCAATATATATCCTAAGTTGCGCTTTCAGAAAATGGAAATCGCAAGTTAAATTTCGACAATTGGTTCAGTAGAATGGGAGATATAGAACTGTAGCTTTTACAAAAGATCTAAATGAATGTAAAGTAGTGTTTCTTATAGTACATGATGCTACATACATTTTTTATTCTTAATTATGTGGTACAAAATTTAAGAAATTTGAAAACCCCTGTCTTAGGATGTTTAGCACTATGATTTAATGAAACAAAACTCATGTTGAACATTTTGTGTTAAATAATTTATTAGGGACAAGACAAGTTTTTATTAAATTTTCATTGTTAATTTTGTATCCCCCCCCACACACTTCAGTTAAGGATTTGCAACTTTTGGCAAAATATTTATTTGCCCATGCTTTTAGAGATTAACTAATTCCTCATTAAAGGCAGTGATATATTTGTGTATCATAATCACAAGTTTAATGTATTTTCGCATGGGCGCTTAAGTTGGTGGCTAATGTAAGTTGCAGCCCTAACTAGAGATCTGTGTTACAAAGTATGTGCTGTAGTAAACTGTAATTTGAGGAATATTAATAGATATTAAAGAAATGCACCAACTTGAACTATAAAGTTAAGCAAATTTCAAACTTAGATTGGCGTTAGTTGTAGAGAAATGATGTTATGCATTGTGAGAAAATTTGCCAAGGATCTCTGCCAGAATAAAACAATTCTGCTTTCATTATTCAATTAAAAGCAGAACTGAATAAGTATGTATTTAGCTTGTTAAGAAGACAATTTTAAATAGGAGCTCCCCAAAAAAGAATGCAGATATAAAGTAAAGAAATGAATTACTGCAGATGTAATGCATCCTTGTTTTGAAATTCCCTTTTATAGCTATTTTAAGTTATAATATCTTGACTCACTTTTAGAAACAGAAGTACATCTGTGCCAGTTTTTATGTAAAAAGTATGTGCATTTGCCTGTTATTTTACTGCATGCTGTGATTGATAAATAATATTTTATAATAATTTCTAACATGAAAATGCTATATTGGTAAGATCCTTTATAGAAGTAATTCATTAGTGGTAATCATTTTATTGATTCATAATGGTTAATTGTTAACTCTGGCTTTTGCATTTGATGCTGTTTGTGTTATAGCTCTTTTAATGTCTTAAAAATGTGTTCATTTCTGTGATGGTTTGTGAATGCTGCAAAAATTTTTATTATATTCTTTTAACAGAAGTGAAGACTCTTTCTTCTGAAGTTGTAACCAAATGGATGTCTATAATTAAAGGAACAAAAGCTGAAGTTCCTGCAGGTATGTCTGTGTTGGTCTGTTACAATTGCACTGCCTTATGAAATTCTGTTACGGTAGGTATTGAAATGTATTAATCACTTATTTATGTCTTCTCACCTATAATTTTATGTGTATGTTTGTTTATAATTCAGCAGGAGGAAAAAAGAAAAAGAAAAAAGTAACAAAGCCTGAGGAAGACAAAAAAGAAGAAGAAAAGCCTGCTGTAGAAACTGTTAAAGAGCTAGTTGACAAGAATCCTGCAAAGATAAAAGGAGTGAAACGCACGTCAAGTGAAAAAGAGGCTAAAAAAGTTGAGTTTTATGAAGATGTAAAAATTGATCCTGAGCCCTTATTGCCTCCTCCTAAAAAGCCACGGCCTGATCGACCGAAGACAGTGAAATTATATCAGAAAAAATTCCGTGCCACTGGTAATTTAATTATTAAATATTTAGTGACACTAATCTTTTGCTTTATTATACTTTGTTGGAGAAATTTTTAATAATTAAATAAGCAGTGTGAGTTTTGATTTAATTCAAGAATCAGTAATTTATCTAACTGTATATAATGGAAGAGAATGAATCTTAATAGAATATATTTAATTGCAGTTTTTTGTAATATATTTCTTTTGCATAAGGAATTAGAATCGCAATTATTTTATTTGCAAAAAATATTGTGGCGAGTAATGTAATTTTACATTTAAGCTGGTCTCGCACGTCTTATGTCTAATATATGTTAACTTTTTAAACAGAAATAAATACATCCGCTGACTTTTGAGTAGTTTATTGTTTATGTCCCAATATTACTCAGGTTTATATACATATTCCACTTTTAATAGATAATGTAATTTTAAAATCTGAGAGACAAGGGTACCAATGTTCCTTTCTCTATCAGTTAATGCTGCTAGATATTTTAAAATGAATTTTCATGTATCAGATTTGTTTTCAGTTAGTTAATGTCACCTCTCACAAATAAGAAAATGAAATTTTGTTTGAAAGTAGAAAATTTTCATGCATAGCTTTAGTTATGTGTTTAATTTATTGCTTTTATATGCAGGTTTAGAAGAAGCAACTCCATTGCCAAAGAATATTCCCAAAAAGGCTCCTACTGTTGATAAAAGTGCACTTGCTGTTGTTAAAAATGCTCAGGTGAAAATTAATGCTCCTGATAGGATACTAGAGAAAAAAATAAAGCCTGAAAATCTTATGGCTATTAATGAAAATTCAGCAGCTAACAAAGGCATCAAATTGATTCCTGCAAAGCCACGACGTAAGCATGTCATACTGTTATTTTTATTATGCTGTGCACAGCATATTAAAATTTTTACAAGCTAATTTCTTTCAGTTAATAATATAAATTTCTTTTGCAGCAGCACATGTACTTCATGAAAGTGCAAGTTTTATGGATGCATTAATATCACAACCAATTGTTCCTGTAAAAAGAAAGAAAAAAGTGCAACCTAATAAAGCAGCAACTTCTCCTACATCTCCCACTTTAACTGCTCCAAAATTGCAAGTATGTTGCAAAGCTTTTATCTTTTATTTCTTAATTTTATACTCATTTTTACAGAAAATTATTGTTTTTATACATAATAGAAATAGATAGTGACCAGTGTATGGATCCAGGTCTAAAATGAAATTGCTCATAGCAGTAGTAATGCAATAAATAAATATAAATATATATGTTATATATATAAGACTTACTTGTATGTCTTATTTAGTATTTAAACAGTGTAATTATTCTGTATAATATGATAATAATGCATTTCCTCACATTCTGAACTATCTTTATCAAAATTCTCATTTATAAAGTCTGTCACAGATCCTAGTTGGCCAGTAGATGGTTTGAGGAACATTCTATCGAATTCTTTCTTGCCCACAGTTAAGTTCTGTTGCACACTTTTAAGTTATTTTGAAATAGATGGGGGAAACATGTCATCTATCATCAAATTTTAGAACAAATATGTCGCAAAAGAAGAGGGTCTTATTGTTAAGTAAATATGGTTATAGTTGTAAGTATAGCTTCTTTAAGCAGATTTCAAAAGTAGCATGATGGTTGAAATTTTGTATTGAGACACCTTCAATTGAAGAAATGGGTTTAAAAATAGTTTGGGAATTGTGGGTTTTTCTTCCACTGAGTCAACAAAGTAAGTCAACAGTATGTCAAATACATCAGTAAAGAAAAAGGAAGAATAATCAAGTAACTCTAAGGGATAAGTAGCAATAAATGATCATAATCCTTCATAGACTCAGTTTTATCATACATAGCCAGCGACATAAAAATCTTAATTCAGGTGACCACCCAGCTGAATGAGAGTAGACAGACAGATTATGGAATATCTGCTTCACTTTATGGGTTTCACTTCTCATTGCACTGGACTACAGAACACATATGACTGGATCCTTGATGATTGGAAACATGATCAACGTTGCTGCATGGAGTATTGAGTCTTGAATCCAGCCACGTCATGCTAATGGTAGGCTAAGAATATGTCAACACCCCTTGAAGCCCCAAATTGATTGTTCTGGTTTGGAACTGTACTAGATTATGGCAACTCAATGATTGTCTGTGATGTTTTCATTTGACAATGCTCCGTACCTTTAATACTTGTACCAGGCATCCTCAATGCATCTAAGTGTCTAGTAGTCACATCAGTAGAGAAAAAGGAAGAATAATCAAGTAACTCTAAGGGATAAGTAGCAATAAATGATCATAATCCTTCATTATGATCATGAGTCAACTGTACTAGATTATGGCAGCTCAATAATTGCCTGTGATGTTTTCATTTGACAATGCCCCGTACCTTTAATACTTGTACCAGGCATCCTCAATGCATCTAGGTGTATTGGTCCTCTGGCCAATCATTTACAACACTACGTGCTTCTCTGTCGTCCAGGTTGCAATACAAAATACCAATAAGAAAACTGCTTCTGTTACAGATCCCCAGTTGACCAGTATCTGGTTTGAGTAGTATTTTAGTGAATTCTTACAGCCGAGTGCCCAGGTTTAAATCCCATTGAGTAATTTTGGAATATTCTGAAAAAAAGATCTGCAAGCATGTTATCTATCATGAGGCATCCTTAACTGATTTTCTGAACTGCATCATTTCTAGATCAATCCCTCTTGCATGGCTTGTGTAATGCTGATGACATAGCTAACTCGGAACCTGAACTCAAAATTTTCAGAACTGAAACTTTTCTGATCTAAACCAAAACCTTCTCTTGGCTAGCTTCCATACTTCTAAAATACGATACTCTGTGTAGTGATGAACAGTATGTTTTGATCATTAGTTTGAATAATAAAAGTTAAGTTAAAGTTAATAAAAGTTATATTCAATTCAGCCACATCTGTCTACAAGTCTTTCTTTGAGTGTTATCTTTCTAACTATGCAGTAAAGTCTTCACAGGCTATAATGCAGAGAGAACCATTGTCACTCTGTTGCAGTTTACTCCAAGTCATCTTATTACTTATATACTATACATATATGCAATAATTTTATTTTTATTTTTTGCAATTAAAATTTCTTAATTAAATTTTAAATTTATCTTAGCTTTATACGAATAGAGAATATTTGTTATATATATTATATATATGTTAATGTTTTGAATCTTTTAATCTTCTGAAATATTTATATGTGGGAGAAAGAGATTGGTGAAATCATGTCTTTTTTTACATATCATAAAGGAAATTTTAGGGAATTTTAGTGCATATCCAAAATTAAACTTGTAAAAATTTAGAATTTAGCATAATCTTTGGTATTTTGAAATTTTGTGAGTGAATTTTAAATAAATCAAGTTTATTATGAAATAATTTCATAGATATAAATATTCTTTTGTAAATATATTAGGCATTTTATTCAGCCTGTTAATTTCTAATGATTTTGAGAATATTTATGCATTAGCCAATATTTGGCAATACACCTTCTATAATATCCTCACTACTGTAGTCTCTTTAAAGCATTGAACATTGGGGGAACCATAGAATAAGTGTTATAGTTAGTATTGTTACAAAGTATTGCAGGGTATTGATTAGTAGGTAAACATGAATTTTGATTTAATTAATTTCTGCTTTTCTGTTGTTGGATAATGAATTGGCGGATTTTATGAGCACAAGAGGAAATTAAATATTTTATTCTTCAGTTTTACAAGGATACGTTAGAAATGAATGACGAGGATAAAAAAGAAGATAAAGATTCTGCTACAAATGAAGAAAAAATTACAAGTTCAGAAGAGAAAAATAGTGCTAATAATCAAGAAGAAAGTGAGCCAATGGATACAACTGAGGAAGGAGGACAAACACCTCCTAATGAAGAATCAACAGATATAGTTAGTCCATCTGAAAATTCCCAGGAGTCCAAAGGTATGTTGTGACTAGTTATATTTATGCAATATGTAATTATAAGAGAGAGTAAAATTTAATTCGAACAGCTATCAAATATATTTTACTTGTTTATGTTCCATAATTTTAAATTGTGTGTTCCCATTCGTACCACCACTTCATAAAATCACCGAGATATTTTGCGGAATGTAATAAACTCCTGATTAATTATAGCAATAGTGGAGATGATGTTTGTGATTAGCACAAAATCATGAAAGAGGATAATAGAATTAAACTGTAATTTTAAGCAATTTAATAAGTTCATTTAGTGACGTATCCAATCAAACGCGATGAAATTCATTTGCGTATGATGTCTTCTAACTTAGAAAAAATTATGGTTGCCATCTGGATCCATGCTTGTATTTTAGCATTATCCTGTTGAGTGAGATTATTGTACTCTCATAACCATTTTGGACCATCTAAGAGATTTAATTTCTTAACTGAAAACTGTAAAAAATCTTATCCCAGAAATTCTCAAGAATTCCTTTTTTGTACTTTATTGAATATCTATTTTTTATGCACTCATACATTTGGGCATCAAAATATTATTTTCTTTAAATCTATTTTTAAAACAGGTATTAATTGAAGATTTAACAAGAAAAGAATGGGAACAAAAATATAAGAATAATGGGCTACACGAAATTGACGAAAAATTTCAGGGACAAATTTCGGAAAATGAGAAATGAGTGGATTGAATACATTTGTTACACAACGAATTGAATTATGATAATTATAATTAGTTTCAAAGACATGCATTCGTTATCAAGGGTGCATGTATGTTGTTCCTGCACTCAAGCTGGTCATTCAGTAAAAAGTCTGACATCTGTCTGGGTTGCTTCAGTTGTATGACCATAACACATTTCATTTCAGATATTTTACTTTTTACACACATATATATACATCAATTAATGGTGGTGCATAATTTATCATTTATAGATAGCAAAACCCCAAATGTAGCTGTCGATCCAAATAAATTGAAATCAATTTTATCACATGGAAGAAGGAGAGGAAGGAAGAAGTCTGTGAAATGGGTTGATGATTCCAGTTTGAAAGAAATTTTTTACTTTGAAATGGATGAAAATGAAAGAGGTTAGTGTATTTCTCTTATTTTGAGAATTTTCTCTTACACATAAAAAAAAAAAAAAAAAAAAAAAAAAAACTTTCATTCATCAATAAGTCTAATGCCTGTCTGGCTGATGTTCTTAATCAGTTTTAAACTGCAAGCATCTTGAAAAATTATAATAAGGTTTACTTTTAGAATGTACCCTTTTTCAAATATTCATAATTTTTATAAAGTATTTTTGAAATGGTTCATTAATATTTAAGTCATTCAACAGTTTTTTAATTCTTTGTAACGGTATCAAATCAGTAAATTATTACTCAAATTTTGTATTTTTTTATTATCATTTATTTATTTGTTCTGTAACTGATGATCCGTTTATTAAATTTTAATGAGCTGCTAGATTTTTATTTTCATGTTTTTATTATTTATTGCTTATATGCAGATCTATCTGATCCAGAACCTTTCATGCTATTATATATAATGTTTACAAAATTATAGAATATAAAATAAAACACTGAATGTGTAAAAGATATTCCATGTAATTAACACATTTGCTGCCAAAGGTGATGGTGAAACCATTCACTAGTACCAATATCCCATCTGCATTTGTATGGTTTTAAATTATTATATGTTGTTTTATTATTTAAATACATACATAACAGATTCCTTTTAGTGGTAAATAAATTCAGACAAATGTACTCATAGTTGGCATATGAAGTAATATTTTTGCTGCCTGTGCCAACTACCAGATAACCTGGAACTAGATAAGCAATGCTCACCTTCTGCATATTCATGCTGAACTCCTTCATGTTCAATATGATTTTCGATTAAATACTGAACAAAAACTTGAGCAGTTTGTATAAAATATTTTCAAGGTGAATAAACCAAAAATGGGGGGCTTTGCTTTCTAAGTAAGGTGAAGAAATAAAAGAGAGAGAAGGGGACGTCCATTTCAGTATGCCAACTGAACTATTTAGTCTGTTCCGGTCTGCCAACTGAACTATTTAGTCTGTTCCGGTGTGCCAAACAATTAATCATGCATGCATTTGCTATGGCTATTCTCATATTTGTGGATTTAAGTACGGTGATCAAGAATGAGTTATCTTGTAGGTGACAAGTAAACTGAGTTTGCCAACTATGAGTAATATTGTAGATGGCAGCAAATTTGTTAAAGGTGGTTTTCTTATCCAGATTTTGTACTGCATTTATATTGCATTAGTTTATGCTCATCGTGAAATAGAATAATTTTGCTTCAGTTTTTTCGAAGCTTCCCCCCTCTCACCACTTTTTTTTTCTTTCCATCTCTTTTTTGATACAGGAGGCAATAAAAGATTTAATATCTAAAAGTAAGAGTACCTGTGTTAAGTATTCAGATAGTGTAGTGATTTTTAGATTTCTTATGCTTTCATAAATATATTTTTGAAATACATGAATGCATTTTATTGTGAAAGCTAATTTTTTTTTTTTTCCCTAAATAGTTAATGTGCTGAGAACTCAAAACTTTGGCGATCTGAAGTCTATTGAAGTAAAAAGAGAAAGAGAAGCCATGGAATTAGCCAAGCGACAAGCTGGTGATAGAATGGAAGAATCAACTCGGGTAAGTTCATCAGTCAAGTATTAATTTACTTATTATTTTGAAAGTTTATGATTAATATATTTTACGTATAATAATCATCAATCAAATATTTGATTTTTCTTTGGAAGAATGTATAAAACTTATTTCTTCTCCAATTTCTTCTTAAATTCTAGTAATATGCTTTGTTGTTAATTAGGTGCTGTGTATGAATTTTTAACACTGCTTTAATAGGAATACTTTTTACATTTTGATTTGTAATGTATTATGGTAATTGTAAATCAGTGAAAGGTTTTGCTATATATATATATATATATTATGTTTATGTATATAAATTAATATATCAGGGCACATTTTTAAAAGGTGAAATTTAAAAGTCGGTAAATCTAATATATGGCAACTTTCATAGGATTTTCTCTTTCCTTCGTCTCCTTCATTAACCCCCCTTTCTTGGAAGTTTATGTTTCCCAGCAGTAAATAGAATTTGTGGAATTATTGAAACTTAAATTAGATGAATTCCATTCCCCTACCTCTAGTGATTTTTAGAATATTTTTTCTTATTACATTTTTTTTTCATCTGGATTATATTTTTTTTATTAAATTTTATTGATGCTATCATATTTTTCTTGCTAAGTTTATCCAATGCAAATACTATGTACTTTAATTATTAATTTTATTTTCATCAAATTTAAAAGTACTTCAAATAAGTTTTTCTTCATTCCTTAAAATTTTCTTGGCATAAAAGTGTAAGAAAATTACAAAGTCAGTTTTTCAGTCATTATGAAATAAGTTTGGAGTTTCTTTGAAATGGTATCACTGTGTAGAGTTATCTCCAGGTTTTTAAGATTTCAAGATTAGCAGCTATGATCATAGGAGATTGTGCACTCACTCACTAACTTCAATTTACCTCCTAGAAACATGCTTTTCCTCTCAGAATTATATAAGGAATTTGATTAATATTATTGAATATTATTATTGAATATAGTGAAATCATATAGGTAATAATATAAACTCTGAACTGAGGGATTAGACTCTTGGCAAAAATTTCACGCAAAAACAATAAGGTCTGCCGGGAAATTCCACCCCTTTATGAAGTGAAAGTATATAAACATTTTTCATACCTTTAATAATATTTATGGTACAGTATAATTTCTGCCATTAATTATGATGTCTTGCCAGTGAGACGGTAATTTGTAGATAGTATTTTTGAAAAATCAAGTAGTGCTTGCCTGACATCTGCTTCAGTTTTGAATTCCCCCCCCCTTCAAAAAATTTTACAAGGAGAGAAACAAGTGATAATCAAAAGGTACTAGCTCTGCGAAGTATGAGGCATAATGATGTGCTTCTTATTGAACATTGCTCAGCCTGTTTTCTTTGACTGCTATCTTTATCTCATCCATTTGCTGACAGTGTCTCTCTGAATTGTGCTTTTCGTTAGTTTTAAAAGCTCATAATATATTGGGCCTTTTGACATCCTGTCATATACACAGCATTTTCTGATTCAGACTTGGCTTAGAGGTGGAGGAAGAGGTTGTTTAGGGTCACAGTATGCTCCTTTGCTAAGAGTGTTTTCATAGGTAATTCAGTTTTAATCCTGTTATTATTTGGTCCAAAAAGTGTTCATTTTTGTTCCGAGCAAGCAGAGATGTTCATGGGATGATTCAATGATATATGTCTTTCTTGTTTAACTCATGAGGCACCATTTATAGAATAATCCTGATTTCCAAATACTGCCCAAAACTGCCTGTTGAGTTGTTAAGTTTTTCCACATTCTTTGATATTCTGAAATATATATATATATATATATATCTTGCTGTGTCATAGTCTTCACAATATTGTCATTGATGAAAGATAGATGCCCAGAGTGTGACTCATCATTAAGGTCAGAATCACGTGCTTCAAATTTTTTTTAACAATCTTCTGCATGTCTACTAAAAACTGTCTCTAAATTTTGACATACTTGTGTAGCATTTCTTCCTTGTTGGAATTCCTACAAAATACAGTGTCATAAATATTAATAGCTATGTTTTCAAGATCACATCTTACTAAATAATGAGACACTTTTGTTTCAATTAGTTTATAAGAGGAGATGTGTATAAATGCAGTGAAGAGAGACGGCCATATATGTCTTAGATGAACACTTGCATGCATGTTGAAACTTGAAATAATATTCTCGGTTAGAAATTTCCGATAGACATTAAGAAACGTTAGTATATTGCAACCTGTATATGTTTTTATACGCAATTGCACAGTTTTTATTTGGAAAAATATTCATACTTTTGATAAAAATAATTCTTATGCACACGAGAGAGCTCAGCATTTTCATTAGTTTTCCCCCATGCAGAAAATTTAGCAATTAAATGTAAATTTTTCACTTGTGGATTGTTGATCATAAAAATAGAATTTTGTGTTACATGTGCAATTTGTTTTATGTCAAGTTTAAGAATATTAAAGTGCAACTTTCAGAAAAAAATTTGCAGTTATATGTATCTTTTTATTGCATCGTAGAGATCATGATCAGTATTTCTTTTATTCAACAGTGGTGGATAACTCCTATATTAATCGATGTACCACCTCCTCTGGTGGAAGTTGGCTGTGAAAGTGTAGAGAAAGATTTGGAAAGGTATAGGCAGCAATGTACATTACAAGAAATCTATTTCACAAGAGAAATGTAAGTCATGCAGTGTTTTATTCTTTTACTTTTTTCCCAATATATAAAAGAGTCAAACTTGGTGTAAAAGTAACTTGTAAATGGTTTCTAAAAGATTTTTGTGATTTAAAAAAAAAGAAAATTTTTCATGATGTAATCTGTTCAAAGTAGTCTAAATGAATACAAATTTACTATATTAAATTAAATATTCTATCGCCAGAAGAAATTCAAATCTGTTTTTAAATTGCATTCTGAATCTTGCTTAGTATAGAATAAAGGAGCAATAAATAATTCGTAAAAGGCTTTAAGCATGCTAGTTTTATAAATATAGAAATTAATTAAATTTAGTAAGCTAAAATTATTATTTTCTATTATAAAAGTCTGGTGGTTACAAAGTGAAGTATGTTTTTAAATTTAGTCTGAATCTTGTGGATAGAAAAAATATGGGATTATTGTGACAAATTTTTTTGGAATACAGTATATTTAAAAAAAATGCGAAAATTCATTGTAGTAATTGTTAAAATTTGTAATGCATATACTGACTAAAGGGCAAAATATGTTAATTTTTTTAATTTATGAGCACCATATGAATTCTTTTTTATATGCTGTTGTAATTTTAGGATACCAGATTCTCCACATGAACCAGATTTAGAAATTGTTCCAGCACAAGAACCTAAAGTCATTCCTTTAGATGAAGTAAGAAAATGGATCACTGATATTGTAAAGAAATTTATTAGTTATTATGCATGTGAAAATTATTTAAACTATTACAGTCATATCATTTTTAAGGGTATATACATATAAAATAGTCATTCATTTTATAAAGGAAGAAAAATGATAAAATGTTTGTAAAAATCCAAATTTTTTTGTCCTTTCAACGTATTAAGTAATTAAATGAAGAAAAGTTTGCAACCCCTATAACAATAAAATTATGCATATTAGTATAGTTAATTATTGTAGGCAGTGAATAATAGATGTACAGTCAAAAGTCGTTAATTCGGACACCTATAATCCGGACCTCAAAGCTACAATTTTTCTGCGCATGCGTCGTGTTGACGCAAGAAAAAATGCCGCGGCGCGCAATGAATTGGAAGTTAATCTGTTAGCACTATCCTTATCTTCAGAGCAAATGTTTTTATTTTATTTGGCTTATAATTCCTTACTAAATGTAGTATTTCATCTCGATGTACTCCGTCTTTGATATGATTTAAATCAAATTCCTCATAGCAATTATAGGACTTGAACAGCGGAACTTTGTAACTGAAGAAGAAATTATGCCTGTTTATAGAATTAAAGAGAAAGTATTATCACATAAAACGAAGCAACTTAAACAATTTACATTGAAAGAAATGTTTAATAAAGTAAACATATAAATATTAAGCTTTTTTTTTTTTTTTTTTTTGTAAATTTTGATACCGTTTAGATCATAATTGTTCTTTATTTCATAAATTATGGTTTCATATTTTTAATTTTATAATTTCTGCATGCCATCTTACCAGATTTAAACTGATGATATATAATACGGAAAATCGATAATCCGGAATTGCCGAAGTCCTGATGAGTTCGGATTAACGACTTTTGACTGTATATATAACCTTTGCTATCTTTTCGAATAGCAAGAGTTAGCATATATTTCCATGTATAAGCCAAAAAGTTTTGTAACCTTTTCCAAAGCTAATTTGTGGGGCTCGACTTACATAGATTCACTAATCTAGGTAAAAAATATAGGTATACTTTTCCATTAGCCAGGAGCAAGCAATCATCACCAAATATTGCACTTGTTTATTTCTCAAGTTTATATTTGTTTCATTTATGAGAAGTTTTTTAAAGTGAAATGATTTATTTTATTTTCAAAATTATTCGTGATGCTGGTTTGGTATTTTCATCACGATAAATCTAATGTTGGTGAAATTGCACCCGTTTCTCCATTCTCTTTTTTATTTAATGCTGAGCAACTATAATCTTGTTAGGCTTGCAGTCGCGCTTTCTGATTTAGTACGATCACACTGTTACACATCAGTTTGATACACTTTTAGTCTCTCTCAAGCATGTAGCAAGAGAAAAACTGCATTTAACACAAGTCACCTGTAGTTTGAAATTTGCCATATAAGAATTTCTCTTCTCACTCATCTTTCAAATAAAAATAAAAAATGGCATTAAAAAAAATGGCTAGCACAGATGTTAAAGACTGTATACAAGAGAGCAAATGAATGGGGCAAATTTGCTGCCTTCCTATAGGGTTACTAGAGTTAAAACTACCATCTTTAACATCTATCTATAATTTAACAGCAATTTGAAAAATGATTTTTACTTGTTTGGCAATGTTTTCGCCCACATGGCTACATGTTTTAGTGCTAGAGAAATCCCATCTCCATTTTGACTTTGGTTTTGAATTTTGGATAAATTTTTGGAGAAAAAAACATGCTCTTGGCCTATACATGAAAATGCAGTTGCACAAACTGAGAACATTATGCATTTTTTCACACTTTTTAACATTGAAAGACATGATTGTATTTTTTAAAATGTTTTTAACATCCATCCGTCTTCACAGGAAAATTCTATTGGCTCAGTAATGGATTATTCAAATTATAAAGCTCCAAAGCCTCAGTTACCAGAAGTTTTAACATCCTTAATTCGATCAACTGGCCAGACTCAGAATCAGAATATTTCTCAAGAACAACAGGTATGTATTTTCTTATTATTTTACATTTATTCTTTCGATTTTCAAAACCTTTGAATCTATTATTTAATAATTCCATATTTCAAAATGCAAGCAACTTCTGTGTGCCTAACATCTTTCACAGAATTTTCCTTATGTAGCTGGATCATCTTCAATTAGTAATTTACTTCAATTAGTAACACAAAGTAAAATTCTCTATGCGTGCATACATAAAAATGTCTTTGCTTAATAATGATATCTCTTGGCTTTCATTTAAAATGCTTCAAAAGAAATATTGATTTCAAGGATTAAAAAATCTAGCCTTAAGAAATTTCTAGTATATGATTTAAATTTGAAATTCATAATGTTTAGTAATATTTTTTTAACATAGTTTCATATTATTTCATATTCATTAAAGTAGAAAGAATCAAAGTACATGAAAATATTAAAAAATATTTGTTTAGAGTTGATGTAATAACTTGACGGTGTATGAGAAAGTATTTTATTTTAATGAATAATACTTGTAGCTTTTGCAAAATAACTAATGTTTAAAAATAATCAAAGGGTCAATGTTTTCTTATAAGTTATGCGTAGTGCCTCTTTCCCCCCCCAATCATACATTGTTTTATTGTTTATAATTTTTTTCTTTTTAAATGTAAGTAGTTTTACATTTTTTTTTTTTTTTCCCTGAAGAAATTTTTAAATGTAATGGCTATAATGTTAATTTAATGGTTTATTATGATGAATAAATTACTAATGTTAAGCAAGAATTATTTTCTGTTTCATTTTTAAAATAGTTTTCTTATACTTTACAGATGCCAAATGATCTTAACAATATTTTAAAGCAACCTATATTAAACCCTGAAATTACTAACCAGCAACATATTCAAGTACCATCATCTTCACCATATGATCCAGGTAAATTTATTTTTAATATTATATGTATGTATTGTATTATAGAGTGTTTCACATGCTATATGGTACATGTATTGCTCAATTATCAAAAATCTGGTATAATTTTTTACACATTTGCAATGAAACTGACCTGAACTGTGATGTAGTGCCAGTACACATTTTTTAGTTTATTTCAGAGAACATTAATCAGTTCTTAGCTAAATTTGAAGCAAAGAGCTGTAAATCATGCTTGCTCTTTCAAACATACCAGGTAACCATAATCCTAAGCTGGTTGTCACTAGCAAGTGAAAAATGAGCAAGGAAAGGTGAGCTAGTTGTGATACATGATTCCATCGCCAGTGTAATATATCTTATCCAATATATGCTGTGTATTTCTTACTATGAGTAAAATGTTGTGGAAAGCAGGAGTAATTAATAGTGGCAATTCATGAAGTTCATGAAGTTGTAATTCTAAGCAAATTTTGGAGTTTGTTAACTAGTCAACACTGACAAAAGTAAAAATATGAATGATGCTTGTGTCTACCAATTAAATCTACGAAGAAATTAATGTAATTTGTTGGCAAAAACGGCCTCTTATATATATATATATATATACCTCTTATTTTTACTGCAATCATATATATATATATATATATGATTGATATATATATATGATTGCAGTAAAAATAAGAGGTGCATAACTAGATGCTATTGCAGAGTTTCAACCTTCTATGGCTAATCGTTTTAGAATTGTACAAGATATATACATATGTTATGGAAACAATTATCCAGTTGGATTCAGGAATAATTTAAATGCGTATTTCTGTTGAAAATGAAACCCAAAATTGTAATATTTTGCATTTGCAGGTTTGTAGGATTTATTTCCTATAAGGTCATAGGAAACTGATATTATAAACTTCTGGTCTGAGAAAAAGTGAAAAACAGAAATATTCAGAATTGGAGGAAAAAATTGCTTTAACTTGCTCGCATGAATCCACTGTTGAAAATTCATTTAGTTGTATTATGACAGAATATAGAACATCCTTGAACATTGATTGCCCATATGCTGACAGACTGTAAAAATATTTATTTGCATTAAACAAAAATGCATGTCAGGTTTTTTGGTGGGAAAATTCCCTCTCAAGTCTCCCTTAGTGACAAAGATATTTGAAATACTTTTGGAATACTTTTTGGTAAGCTGGGCAAGTTACTATAATTACTCCATGTATTCCCTTCTAACTAGTAACACTTCTCACCTGATCTCCAATGCATGTTAATTTGCATACTTCATTTTATAATCTAAAATTTGTTGAAGGTTTAAATGAAAAGTCATTATTTACATTAAAATAGCTTGCAGATAATACTAAATTTTCAGTTATTAGCAAATAAAAATATAAAGAAGCAAATTCTGAGAACTTAAAGCTCCCCAAAAAGCAAGCTAAGCATAGCAATTAGTTTTTTCAAATGGAGATATAACACCAAAAAGATAAGTGATTTTATGAAATGTAGTTAAAACATTACTTTTTAGTAATTATATATATACACTCATGTCCATAAATTAAGATTAATTCGGAGTCACACTGAAATCGAACTCTAAAATAAATAGATCACCTGTAAAATAACTACACACATCTTCAAGAATCATATGCAAATTTCAGGAAGTAACCAGATGACACCGATGGTGCGTCACAATGACGAGAGTGATATGTAAGGAATACAGGCAAAGAAGTAAAATTGTTCGCAGGCGCTTTATAAGCATTTCAGTGCAATAACCGAATAGTTATGACACAAAGGACGCAATTGGATGATTTTTTACGTGGTAGAATTATCGGCCGTCTGGAATGTGGAAGTATCAGACGAACTTGGAATTGCCCAGAGTGTCATCTCCAGGCTTTGGCAGCGATTCCAAGATGATGGTAATGTGAGTAGACTTTACAGCACAGGTCGCCCCAGAGTTACAACGCCGAATGAGTACCGGTATTTAACAGTTACTGCCAAAAGAAACAGGCGGAGCACAGCCTCAGACCTGTTCATCAGCCACTGGTATGACAATTTCAAGGCAGACCATGTACAGACGTTTAGGGCAGATTAGTCTATATACTCGTAGACCTGTCAGATGTGTTATACTTACTGCAACTCACTGTTGCCTGCGGTTAGCTTGGAGTAGAGAGCTTGCATTGTGGACACCACAATAGTGGGCTTGTGTGATGACGAGTCCAGGTTTAGCTTGCAGTCTGATTTTCACCAGACTTTCATATGGAGAGCTCCAGGTACCTGTTACCACCAAGAAAACATTCTTGAACAACACCGTTACAATGGTGCAGGTGTCCTCGTTTGGGGTAGAATTATTCTGGGTTCCAGAACTGACCTGCATCTTCAAATTTGAACCATGACAAGCCAAATCTATCGGGACGTCATTCTGGAACAACATGTAGATTTGTTTTGGGGCGCCATGGGCACACAATTTATGTTTATGGATGACAACGCCCGTCCTCACCATGCAAATATCGTAAGCGAATGCCTTCAATCAGAGGATATCACCCGTACGGACTGGCCAGCATTCTCACCGGACTTAAATCCAGTAGAGTACGTGTGGGACATGCTTGGCCGTGGAGTTGCAGCCCGTCAACCTCCTCCTACATGTCTACTGGAACTTCGGAGAGCATTGCTTTTTGAGTGGTGTAATATCCCCCAAGATCAGATCGGTAATTTGATACTCAGCAAGCCTAGCTGTTGTACGCACTGTATTGCATCGTCTGGGAGACATACAATGTATTAACAATCATACCAACCATGTAATTTTTTTTTTTTTTTTTTTTTTTTTTTGTAATTTGCTCCAGGGAGGAAAAAAAATCGCTAATTTTTTTAATAATATCAAACATAGAGCATCTTTTTTTGCTCTTTACCTTTTGTTTAATAAATAAGCTTTACAAATAAGTCAAATTTGTTTTGCTTCTAACTCTTCCTTTGCCTGATTTTGCGTTATCCTTAATTTATGGACATGAATGTATTTAATTATTAAAAATGAGGATGAATCTTATAACGAAATCGATAACACTTTTCTTCAAAATATACACCAAATGGTGTTTTTTCCCCCCTTGATAATTTTAATTTTAACATTGGTGCATTTTTTTTTTTGTTAGTTTTTTTTTTTTTTTTTTTTTTTTTTTTTTGTTTCCCTACTTTTTTTTTAAATTAATCATCACTTTTTAAAAATCAGAGTATATAATAGATCAGTTAACATTTACCAAAAAGAAACCAGCATTGAAGAAATTGCCTTTGACTTTCAAATGTATCAATTGTTGCTAATCTAATTGAAAAAGATATCAATAGGAGTTAGAATGATATGTAGTGGAATAAGTGCATTGAAATTAAAAGCTCTATAGTTATGATGATGACATCAGAGTTGCATAGAAACTTCATGTGACATTTTATAGATGACATACATGACAGTTTTAAATTGATTTATATATTTATTTTTATATTCATTTTCAGTTTTATGTTTAATATATATTTATTTATGCACCTACAAATGATCTGATTCTGAGGCATTTACAGGGCATTGAGGGATGGGGAGAATGAAACAAAAGTCTTAAAATTTAGTTTAAGGTAGTAGGATTCATGGTGTTTCGTTGCTCTGGCAGAAGCATTCCTTCCTGTTGTGCATCAAATCAGATTCTAAAACATTAAATATTGAGATGAATTGTAACAAAGAATGGTACATATTTGTATTCCTAAAAACATATTGTACATATCATTGCATTATTACCATAAAGATATGTGTGAATATTTATTTTCTATTTATGTTTGAAAAGCAGTGTTGTATCTTAAAAATTCAGAGCATCTACAATTTTTAATTTGAAAGAGCTGCAACTGTCTGCTTTATCTTCCTGATAATTGCCCATTGCATAATTTGCATAATCTGGATTCTGTTATATGTTAAATCAGTGAATTTTTATTAAGAAAAAGTAAAGAAGTTATTCAAAGTGCTGTAGTTTATTAACATTTGGTTATCAAAATCCCTCCTTCATTAATTAATTTCATTGTTTTTTCAGCGGAACCAGTGTCTGTTATGCCTTCAAACAGTTTACTTGGACCTCCTCCACCGTTGCAAAATATGTTTGGTATGTCACAAGATGTCCAAAATATGAACTCTCAAAATGATTGGCGGCCATCAGAAGTGATGCAGCCTGATCAGTTTTTTGGTGGTTATATGAATCCAAACATGGTTCATGATCCAGTTCCAGGCATGAATATGAGACCAAGAATGGTGCAAGAAATGTTCCGACCTCCAAACATGCACAAAGTTCCACCTCGAGGAATGGGTAGGTTTTTATCTTACGAGGGTGAATCAAATATAAATGAGCCTTTTGTTCAAACAAAATTAGTTTTATAGGAAAAATCTACATTTCTCCAAATTATTTTTCTAAATAATCTTCTACTTTTATGATAGATTTTCCTCAATGTTTTTCATTCTGTTCTCATAGAATGAAGTGCAATAGGTATCTAATCAGTTGTGCCTGGATGTTTCAATTTGATCTTTGGACTCAAATCGCTTGTCTCCAAATGCCTTTTTAAAGTGTCCAACCATGTAAAAATTGCCTGGTGATAAGTCTAGGCTGTAAGGTAGATGATCAAGCATTTTTCAGTGCATTTCCATCAGTTTCTGTTGCGTTACACCTTCTGTGTGGGACCTGGCATTGTCGTGGAGGGGACAGTCTCGTCTTTTGCATCAATACTGAAGCAAGACTTGATCCAAGAGACCTCAGCAGTAGGTTGCATTAGTTCTGATGCCGTAAAAGAAATCCATCATTAAGACCTCCCTTCAGTCCCAAAAATCCGTTACAAGTGCGAGGATGGCGGGGATAACCTTGATTCGCAACACGTTCGCGGCCTTAACTGAATTCGTTGCACCAAACCTTCACTCTTGACTATGAAAGGGTAACTTCCCCAAAGTGGGCATGCAGCCTTTGGTAAATTTCAGCTAGTTTCACGTGTTCGGGGACGAGAGAACTTCATGATGATGCGTTGCTCAATAGGGACAGGCACACTTCTCTCACTCAGCATAAGGACTACAAAATAAAGCATGGGACAAGCTGCTGGTATAGTTCCCTTACTCTAGGCAACCACATCTGCCCAAGCACGTACAAATACTCATGCTGACGCTCAGTCAGTGAAGGCTCGTTCATATTTGATCGTCCTACATATTTTTTATTATAAGCACTCTTTGGCATTTAGACAGTCAGAATTTAACATTGGGAATGAATAGTTAAAACTTTTTATTTGTGTTAATATGTTTTTTTTCCCTCCTTTTAGGTCCTCGACCAAGAAATGTTCACAAAGTTCCATGTCGACACTTCATTGCAGGAGGTTGTCGATTTGGCATGAAATGTTCCTTCTTACATCCTGGAATTAATGGGCCTCCATTATAGTGTGATAGGCAATTCTTCATGTGAAAATGTGCCTTTTCAGTATTACTGTGATATGGACATTTCATTCATGGCTTCCATTATTGACTATTACTGCTTTTTGAGAAAGCAGAAGCCTATCTCATGCCATTAATGTACATACTATTTACTGTACAGATTGTGAATAGATACCATGCGGAGCTGAATTCACAGACTAGTATTAAAAATTGATCAGAAATCACGGAATGATTTCTTTTGCTTTAGTTTGCATTCCACGTAAAGGGTGTGCTTAATTAATTTGGACAGCTGTTAAATTCTATAAACTTTATAAATACAGAATTGCTGATTTAAGTTTGTGGGAAAATAAGCATTTAATAGTGAATTGGTGATTGGCATTGCTTTTGGTTTGACAAAGCATAAATTTTCATGTTACTTTATGCATGCTGAAATTTGTTAACATTGTCTTGAAAATGTGTACTTTGCTGAAAATATTTTCTTTCCCCCCCTTCAATATTTCAGTGCAAAACCAAATAAATAGTTTTAAGGTGGAATTTAAAAATTTGTCTCTTAATCTGATATTTGCATTTTAATTGGTCAGATTTTCTTTAAAAGATTGATAATAAGTATAATTTATAAGGATAGGCAAATGATCTGCTCCATTTTATTTCTGGGAGTAGTTAAAAATAAAATGTTCAGATATTCCACAGATGAGTAATTGCTTTCATAAATAAATAAAAAAAAAAAAAAAAAAAGAAAAAAATATTAAGAAAGATTAGCAGACATGAAGTTCTGCAAGTTTTCCCTAAATTTTTCTTGGTGTGCTTTAAAAATTTTACTACCTAGCTCGTTTTCCCAATTTTTATATGGATAAGGTTATTGATATATTTCATCATTTGCTCACAATGTGAAAGCCTTTGGCAATTTTTAGTTTCTTTTTAGATACACTGTTTTATTTCTGTACATATTTTATTGTAAATATGTTGTATAGTATTATGTTTTTTTATGTAAAAATGCAACACTTGACTGAAAGTTTATTGCAAGTAATATAAAAGTTTATGTGTATATATGTGATGCTCATACTTGAATTTCTTTCTAAAGGAATTAAAAATAATGTTCATTTAAGAAAAAGAGTGCTATTGTGAGCAGAAGCAATTCAATAAAATTTAAATATTTTCTTTTATTATAATGCTTGCAGTTCTTTCAGCCAAGTAATGTATAATATGTACATTGTAAAAAGAAATACTGAATATCTTTTATTTGCAGTTATATAAAAAATTATTAATTAAATTTAAATTGCCTTTTTATTTTTCAAATCCATGCCACCACATTTCAAGCATATCGAAAATACGATAATTTCATTATTTTAAGGTACATGTTTTGGTTTTCCAAAAAGCATTCTTTTGAGTGCTGCTCTTTTTCTTCCTCTTTTTCGTTTACCTGAAGTAGACAGATTTATCATTTAAGTTGTCACCAGTACAGTCAAAAGTCGTTAATCCGGACTCGTCGGGACTTTGGCGATTCCGGATTATCGATTTTTTCAGATTATAGATCATCAGTTCCCTCCACCCATCCCCCGCTGCAGAGCAGCGTGAAATTGATAAATAGATTTTGGAATGGTTAGGTCATTTTTTGCAGCAATTCAACTTTTGTTTAATGGACTTCGAAACGTACTTTCGCTTTGGTAGATCTTTTACATATTAGTAAATGTATATTGGAAATTCTATTTGACATAATCGAAAGTTCAAGCTTACTTTTATAAAATTGCTCTAACAGTCTGCAAAAAATAATAAGCCGGATCCAATTCGAACATTAAGGAACAATGCAATCTGCAACATTAACTGAATTAGATAATTTTAGCTTAGCTTATACCGTCCGTTATACATTAAACACGCATGCGTAAGCGTATTTTGTGCACGCGCACACAACTATTCACAGCCGTAAAGTTGCGCAGAAAGTTTGTAGCTTTGAGGTGCGGATTATAGATCATTCCGGATTATGGGTGTTCCAATTAACGACTTTTGACTGTATTTCATTTTTAAACATTTTAATTATTTAAAATTTAAGTAATAATAACTTACCATGTTTAATTTCTGAAATGCCTTCTTCAGGTATCTGTTAACAAAAAAATCTAGTTCAAAATATATATTTTTATCAGTTTAACATGAGCTTTGATGGAAACACTGATAAGTGGATTTCCCCTCCCCTTTTTATAAAAATTTTTAATTTTATTATAGTGAGTTATAAAATAGGTCGGCTATTATTTTGTGAAGTACAATAATGTTTAATAGTGTGAACTTGCTTTCATACAGTAAAATGTGTTAGGTATGGGTTGGCTGCCTGTGAACCTCCCCTCCCCCCCCCCACACACACACACCATGGAGGTAGGAAAGGGAGGAGGGGCCATTCCGCGCTAGAAGTGAAGCACTGCTTTCAAGCTTGGGTCACCAGACGGGGTGTTTTTTTGTTTACATTCAGAAGCTCGCTTGACAAGATTCTGATAGTATTTCGACACACGACAGTTCCATAGAAATCGAAAAAGGGACACTCTCGCATGAAAGAAACATTCATAGTGTGATGGATAATAGCAATTTGTATAGTTTTACTGACATTTACGCAAAAATCACATCTTGGGTTATTTTTCGATAACAAACAACAGCGATTTTGATTATGAATTTGTTTTATAAAAATTCTAAGCTGTTACACTACAAAAATATAGATTTTAAGAAAAATGTTACGCTTAAAGAATACTTATAATTAAAAAAAAAATACTTATAATTTTCATTCAAATTATATTCATATATATTTTTTATGTAAAACTTTCGTGTGCATGCTAAATTAGTGTAAATTACTTTACACGAAAAATATAGTGAATACACAGAAATTAAAGATTTGCACATGACGGAGATGATAAATAGGAAATATGTATGGGTATTTATGCATGTGCTTGCAAAAAGCACGTATCTGCCTTTGACAAAATACTTAAATATTCATTAAATTATTTATAAATGTATTTGAAATGAAGAATTTATTCACTTATAAACAACTGTGAAAGTACTGTGAAGAAATCTAATGATTAAATGTATCTAATTTATAATGATTATAAATGTTATCTAAATATATAATAACCTTAATATTGAATTGTAAACATAAATTGAAATCCTGTTGACAAATATGTTCTAAAACTATTTAAGCAAGAATTGTTCGTATTGGAAAGCAATCTGTTAAAAGGTATTGTAAAGCAAACGCTATGAGATGCGCACTTGAGAACGTAGTAAAGAGTTTTGGAATATGTATTGTTGAAATGAAGGGTAAAAAAAAAATCTGATAAGTCTAATTAAAATAATTATTCCCTTTAAATTTTATAATAACTCAGTTACAAGTTTTAAATAATACTTTAAAAAAAAAAAAAAAAAAAAAAACCTTATTTTATTCCCTTTCAGAAATGTTCAGAGAAAGTCAAATACTATTTTCCTAATAATTCTCTAATTTAAAATGAACCGAATAGAGCATTAATTATAAATTGATTTACATTTTTCGATTTAAAAGAAGCCAAAAAATCATGTCATATTTAAGAAAGTATTTTAGGAAGAAGCTCTATAAATAGAAAAGAAATAATGCATAATTTTAATATTAATAATACAATACACCTTGATCTTAATTTTTGTACCTTAACCGAATAAAATCGAATTACCTTAATTTTTTTTTCTAATGTAATTAACGAAAACTTGTGAAAATATTTCACTCAAATTAAACCATTCTGAGAAAACTGTCCTGTGAAAAGTATAGCATTTAATTCCGTTCAGAATGAAATGTTGTTTAAAAATATGTTGTTTTCACATACTTAGGACTCTGAAGTGTTGTAAAAAAAAAGAAAATATATATACATTTATATGTATATTTGCGACGTAATTACAAAATATTTACACCCGAACGCGTCAAATCCCATAAAACTCAATGGTAAATGACCCAATGTTTTGGTCACCACGTAGGGATCGCCGGTGCTTCAGAGCAGGGTACGGAGAAACTTGTTTAGGGCGACTCCTTCTTACTTCCTACCTCCATGACACACACACAAAAAAAAAAAAGATAGGGGTGCTGCCAAAAAATATTGTGAGAGAGTTTTAAAAAGAAAATGCTTAGAAATGTTTTATTTTCCAACAAGTATTCAATCCTACCAATCAAGTAGCAAAATCTCTGAACACCAATAATTTGACCTGGCTCAAATAATGGTGAAGAGGCAGACTGAATGAGAGTTTTCGTGGTTTTTCCTATGGGAAATAAGCCAATTTCCTTGAAACTGTTCCTCACACACAGGCATCTCTTAACATGCTTTGTGGTAGCCAAAATGATCTAATCCCATCTTGACAAGATGGGGTTGTGCACTTACATTACATAGCCAAAAAAAAAAAAAAAAAAAAAAAAAGCCTTAGCCAAAGAACCCTGTACTGTAATCTAGTGAATGCTCAAAATGAAAAGCTGTAGAAAAAAGAATTCAGAGAAAATCAGTGTGCACAGAAGCAGGTTTAGTGTCATGTCAAAGCTGAATTATAAATCTTTGGTACTTGAAAATGCCAGGCAGTTTAACATGATTAATTTTCACCTTTAACCTCTTTGCTCCAGACATTGAGGAAAGAGAGCTGCCCATGACCTTGGAGCAATGAACATCACCATGTACCTGAGTGCATTTTGCAGTAAGTCTAAATGCAAAAATAATTCTTATAATAACTGCTTTTTATCTAAATATTTTGATTCTTGCATATGTTATTTAGATGTTATTTTTTATTATAACAAAGAGAAAATCCTAATATTTAAAATAAAAATTTGTGATAAGTTAAAATGCAGTACAGTACAAAGTCCGAATATCCAGAATGATCTAAAATCCGAACCTTAAAACCACCAACAAAAATATTTTTTTGAATTTTTCTTTATGCTTTATGCATGCGCATTTCATTATTTTCCCCGTAAGAAAACGTGGTAAAGAAATGTGGAGAATTCAGATTCTTAATTTCACTTCAGCATTAAATAGAATACCTCATTATCGAAGAAACAACCATTTTAGCATAAATTTATGTGATCAGTAATTTGGCTCCATAGCTGCATATCTGCTTGGCATACATCTCAAACCAAAATATTCTACACAGAAACATCGTTAATTTTACAACTATTAATATTTTATATCTCTGACTGCAACATGGCAAATCATTATTTATTATATTTTGCTTTAATCACTATGTTTATTAACACATGACAACTTGACTCATTCAACGATGCCTAAACTTTTTTTTTATGTTAGTAATTGAATAACAAAGAGTATGGAAACCTTTTATGTTGACATTATGCTTGGTGATGATTACAGATTTAAATTAAATGTGCTAAATGTGTTGACAAGGGAAAATTTCTTTCCATATGCTAAAAATGGACTTTGTTAATGATACTCATAGGCCAAAAGATTACATTTAATGCTATTTGAATAAAGAATAACTGATGTTTTATTCGCATAAACGCAGAACTGGCGCCTGAGCTCGTATGGCTGCACCAGGCGGCAGAATTTAGAGAAGCACCGAATAACAAAAGTAAGGAATGATAAAAATTTTTAGATTTTAGGGAAAGCACTGGGACCCAAAATTAAAGAGCGGCAAAAACTTAGGTGTTTGGTAGCAGAATTTAGTACCCACAGAGACTGCATCAGGTGGCAAAATGTCCAGAGCCGGCCCTTGGTAAGCTTATGTGGAAATTTGATTTATTCAGGACTAGGATAAGCTTTGAGCATGTGCAAGATTTAGACGTATGTATAATAAATAACTAAATTAATACAATTCAGGTTTAATTACCTCAGTGCACGATAGAAGCAAGACAAAATTTATTGGAACATTTTTGTCTTTTGTCACCATGCTACATAGCCAATAATGCATAGTGGACGCTGTTAGGCTAGGCTAAAATTATATTACTAATTACAAAAAATTTCAGTTAATATAGCAGATTGCACTGTTCCTTAAATTTCTGATTTGATCCAGCTTATTAGTTTTTGCAGGCTGTTATAATTTTATAAAAACTAAAATTTGAACTTTCGATTATGTTGAAAAGAGTTTCTAAATCTGGAGCTGCAACAAGATCTACAAAGCGAAAAGCATGTTTCGATGTGCATTAAAGAAAAAGTGGAACTGCTGCAAAAAATGGATATAGGTATATCCGTCTCAAAATTATTTGAGGAGTATGGCATTGGAAAGTTGACTGTATATGGACAACAGAGAAAGGAACTTTATGAATGTTTTGTGGATTTCGACACCCGACTCGCAATGAATAACAGAAAGATTATTCGCTGTACTAAAAGTGATGATCATGACGAAGTGATGATTGAATGGTCAGACAGAGATGCAGTGCGGGGGCGCCATTGACAAGTCCAATGCAAATGGCTCAAGCCAAAATTTTTCGTGAAGATATGAACTTAAATACTGAATGTACCTATTCAACAGATTAGTTATTTTAAAATTGCCATGGTATAATGCATTTGAAAATCTCAGGTGAAAATCTTCAGCTGATACCGAAGCTGCTGAACTATTTTCAGATGAATTCATCAAACTCATTAATAGTGAAACGTTATCTCCAGGACAAACTTACAATGCTGATGAAACTGGTCTTTTCTGGCAATATGTACTGTGAAATACTTTGCCAACATCTACAGAAAAGGCTCCAACTTGTGTCAAAGCTTCCAAAGCTAGATTAGCAATTTTAGCGTATGCAAATGTTTCAAGAATGCACAAATGTAAACTTTTCGAAACTGTATTAGTAATAATGTTTATATTGCCATATTTAAATTATTTCTGTATAGTAATTGAAGTAAAAAATGTAAGCATTTAAATGTCGATGCTTTTTATATCACACTGCCATCTTTATGTAAAGAATTTTTAAACTATTCAACAAAACTATTTACATTGCATTGTTTGTTTCTAAATTATGAATATATTGTTAGCCTCACACACTTTACTTTCATAGAATAAAATATTAGTATTCATCACAACATTCAGTAAGTTTTCACAGCATTCTGACATGATTTATGGGCATTTAAAATTTTATATAAAACATTCCATTTTAGCGCATCAAATATGATAGATATTGTGGGCCATCAGTGACACTTCGCTCCATATCACATTTGATATGGTGGGTCCATGCCGGCTACGAAGAGGTTAAAGTAAAGATATTTCAAGAAGAAAAATTTATCCCTCAAAGTATTTCTGGTGTTGGACAATGCATTTTAAAAGGGCTTTGCCTTCTGCCCTCTAAAAAAATAGATTAATTTTGGTACTTGCTATTATATCAGAGGTAAAGGAAATTAGTGCTGATATGTAGGATTTGCAGAATATCATATTTCATGGCAAACTATGCTGATTAACTAAAAGGCATGATAACTAGAAACTTTACTTGTTAACATGAAGAAAAATTAAAACTTCTCAAATATAATTTGAATAATGGGAGCAATTTTCAATACCAGTGATAATAAATCATCCAGATGCACCCTAGTAAGTGAATATAGTATGTCTATTATACCCAAACCCAGAGCACTTTCTTTGTAGTTTTTCTTTGAAGATTTGGCTGCAAAATTTACAGCAATACCCAAAAATTTACATTGTAATCCATTACTAGACCAAGGATAGAAATCAAGAGAAGTTTTTCCAAATTTTCCATAAATATGAGGGTAAAACAACAAAAGGGCAAGCAAGGTAAATAGTAAGATTATAACGAAATATAAACAACTACTTGGCTATCAGGACTGAATAATATAATCCTATTAGATTTGTCAAAAGAAATATCTAAAAATCATATGATATACTGTCAGGAGCTGTATCATTAGACAAAATATGGAAATATACATATGTTAGTTAAAGGATGTAATCAAGAAATTTGATTTATCCACTGCTCTTTTTTCTATTCAGCTAGTGAATAATAAACTTCACTCATTTTTTTATTTTGCTGTTTTCATCTTCAGTTCATTAGAAAATCTTTTTTCAGTAACCAATTCTGGATAGGATGCCTCATACCTGGAGCATATAAAGGCCAAGAAATAACAATATTTTATTGTTGTAGCTGCTGTTTTAAATTATGCTTTATCTAGCTGAAAGAAGAATTTTTACCCCCACAAAACATAGCAATTATGTATGAATCATATTGTTCTAGCAACTCTGCATAGGTCTGTTAATTCTTCTCTTTAGGGATAAACACATATCCCAGTTTTAACTGATTTCTGTACACTCACTATTGGGATCATAAATATTTTATGTGGCAAGATCTAATTTTTTAATTTTGATACATGCTCAAGATTTTCAAAATTGTCAGAAAAAAATCAGTTTTCAAATATTAATTTTAATCTAAAATTAAATGGCATTGAATATGATCACATTTACTTACGTCTTGTTTGCTTTAATAACACTTAAAATAATTGCAAATTTCACCGTGATTTATAAACTGTAGATAAAATAATCTAATAGTATGTATAATAACAATCCCTTTAATAAAAAGCAATTTTTTTTAGATGTGTCTAACAAATGTTGAGTTTTTATATCTTCCAGTTTTTCATGATCTTTAAAATCTCCCCAAATAGGCAGGCACTAAGGCCAGAAGTGGTGGCCACTTTATTGTGGAAGCACCCAATAGGTGGGCCACCATTACCTCCTATGAAGGGATCAACAATTAAAGCCATGCCTTGTTGAGATTTGAATTCAGACCCTTCAGTATCACAGTAGGCTCCCCTATCCACTATACTATTTCGGCGTCATGATGTTTAATGTTTTAGAAGGAATTTTAAATGGAAGTCACTAATAATATATTATGGAATGGTCAAATTATATCCTATTTAAAATGAAAAGTAACATTTGAACTAGCATTTCTTTTTCACAAAATGGAGAATAAAAAGGATAGATTCATAAAGTATGAAAAAGTTAATTTCATAATGTTATATACAACAATATCAAGAAATGTGAATTTAAGAAGGGCACACATTGTTCATAATTTGTAATCGGATCACAAATGTCAGTAGGTCATCATATCAAGGATGATTCATCTGAATTTTCTTTTTGAGTGGAAATTATTGTCTATAAAGGCAGAAAAGTCTTGGGTTCAAGTGCCAGTCAAAGACCCTATTTTACAGCTTTTTGGGGGACAGGATTATAAATGTTAAAATTTTAAGCTACTTTTTTGCATTACCTTTATGTGAAAATGGGGTTTAATTTTTCTCACTATGTAAAATTATAATTTTTTAATAAACTTCTTTCTCCTTACCTGTATTACTAAGAAAATTATGTTTAATGGAAATGTCTAAAATCAAAATTAATTTGATTTATCGCATTACATGTTGTAATAAAATTATTTGAAACAAGAAAAAACTTTTTAAAATTTATTTCCTACCTCCAAATCAAGAATATCATCACTTTCAGAGAACTTAATTTCTTCTAGACTATCAATTGCATCATCACTCTCCTGAAACATAATTTGAAAAATTAACCTTTATAAAAGGTATTTTAAAGTATTTTTAAGTTCTATATTCTACTGCGTTTCACTATTTAAAAATTTCACTTAATTTATTGCTTGTTCCTTTAAGTGAGAAATAAGTCTCCAATCCAAAATGCTGTGATAAAATTTTCCCTTAAAATACACCTACTATTCAAATTTACTAGTGAATTTTCGTGAATTTATTAATTTTAAAATGAAAACCTCATGCAAATTTGTTTGCATAATGTTTCTTTTTTGTTTATCTGAGGTTTCTAAATTATAAACTTTAATTTATCAAGATTATTAAGTTTATTTGGAAAATTTTAATGTTATAATTGAGAGTTGGAAAATTTAGAATCTTACAAATAACTGAAATACCTAAAATTAGTAATTATAAAAAAATTAATAGAGGGAGGTTTACCTGTTGAGGGGTGACAAATCAACAGTTTCCTTATATCTGGTTTAAGGTTTTCGATGTACAAATTTTATACTTTAATTAGTTTTTGATATTATCTTAAGCACATTATGTGGCAAATTTAATATTCTACTACTTAAAAAAATGTCCAGTTTTAAAGGAAATTTCCCACCACCGCAAATATTGTCTGCGCAAGCAGTTCACGTTGGCGTGTTTAGTCATATTTTGTCAAACGATTTTTGGCATTTCAAAGAAAGAGACTTGCTTTAGAACACTGTATTGTGAAATTTCTAAAACAAATATCGTTATCATTAAGTACAAGGTGTCTGAAATGAAATCATCACTCTATCAGATTAGAACTATTATTTACTTCCAGTTCTGTTGTAAAATGTCAACTACAGGATGTCACCAAATCATGTGAACAGCTTTAGGTACTAATATTGTATCATATGACGCTGTGAGGGTTTGGTATCGAAAGTTCAAAATATGATACAAGGACTATAATATTCAAGAAGCAGAGCGCTCTGACGGCTTACTGATAGTGAAGAAGCCCGCCTGCGAGAAATTGTGGAAGAAGATCAGTATGCAACCACTCAGAGCTTGCTAAGGAGTTGGACATTAGTGCTATGTCCATTAGTCATGATATGCATGCCATAAACTTAACGTACAAGCTCAATCGCTGGGTGCCACATGAGCTGACTCAAGCAGAGAAGGACAGACGTGTTTTGGCTTGCACTAATCTGCTCGAATATCAACACAAGGACAAAAGTCTGAACCAAATCGTCACTTGTGATGAAGAGTGGATTTACTTCAACGACATAGGCCGAAAAGAGGGGTTGGTCTGCGTCCGCTCGTCGGCAGCATCGCAAAGCGCAATTTGATTAGCAAAATGATCATACTTTGTATCTGATGGGATTGGCGTTGTATTATCCACAAAAGAGTATCTAGAGAAAGGTAAAACCCTCGACAATAAGGTGTACAACGACATGGTAGTCCATGTTGACGCTGCTATCAAGGTAAAACGTCAAGCTGAGTTCCGTGTCAAAAGGGCAATGTTTAATCAAAATAATGCAAGAAAGACTACATAAGTCTGCATTCACTGACTGAACTCTGTACAGACTCGAATGGGATCTTTTGCCACACCCACCGACATCGGACCTTCGGACGTCTAACATTTTTCACACCTGCAGCTACATCTTGCTGGTGTTATCTTTTATTTTACAAAGGATGTCCGAAAATTGATCTGTTTTTGGACTCGTGGCCACCAAGTTTCTGAGCCGAAGGTTTTGAAAAACTACCAAAACGTTGGCAGAAAATCATAGATTTGGGTGGTGATTACTACCCGCAGTTGCTGCTTTCATGTTCCCCCCCCCAACTATTAATAATGTTTTTGGGCAAAAAACTTTCGTTACAACCAGATATTTAAATTCCAAATATGAGTCATTTATTTATTTAATTACTTTGGACCAGGGGGTCATAGTCTAAAGACTGGGTACTAAAATAAGAGAATCTGGGAAAGAGTAACATAAGTAAACGTAATTCTTAAAAGGACAAATGGCATTAATTTAATTTTAGCAGAAGCGCTTTCAACGATTCAGATACTGTCGTTCTTTTTCATCTGTAACTAAAAGAAAGGCTAATAGCAGAAACAGGAGAGAATGAAAAATTTTCGGGAGTATGCTAGTAATTGCCCATGGCCCTCTTCATAATGAAAACAAACAGCAAGCAGTGCCATCTAAGGACTGAATATGGATGGGAAAATGAGTTACAATTTGACTAATACATAGAGATTTTTATGGATTTTTAAAATCTCAAAGAAGTAAGTCTAATTCAGGAATTGAAATTTAGTGGATGATTTTGACTGAAGTAAAACTGAATTTGTGGTTTGCAGCCCATTAATGCTGGGCAATAGTTGATTTATTTGTTTCCTTTTAAAATCTAATTTTACCCTGAGCGTAAGATTTTTTGTTCCTTAATGCGACATTTTGAAACTCGTTTTAATTTTTGAATGTATATCAAATTGCAATGGCGGTGAGTGCTATCAATTCCTTAAGAATTCATGTCCAGAATAGAGTTTTAAGCACAGAACTGCATATTTCACTAATGAGGAAAAAAAATAACTGGAAATTTCTATAAAATACACACAGTTTTAATAACTGACAGTAGAAAAGATATAAATAAATAACTATTATTAATTGAAACAGAAGAATGTATTTTCATTTTAGAGGTGAAAACACTTAATTGTTTCTTGTATCTGCGCCATTTTTTGGTTTTCTTAGAGTCAGGAATTCTGTTTACTTTTTTAATATGAAGTTTGTCTTCAAAAAATTATTTTTTCAGAATTACTATCAAGTCAGAGTTTTGTTTCTTAAGAGAGTAATTTAAGCCTTTTATTCATATATGAGAATTCCAGCAAAAAGGTTAGAACAAAATTTGTCACATGAATATACACATGCTCCAAAACTCCTTACCCAGCCTTTATTTTCGCAACTTTTGCTTTTCAGTTATAAAAATGCTTTAAATGTCGAAAGTTTTTTTTTTTTTCGCCCAAAAAGCGTTAATAGCCCAGAAGGGCTATTAATTTCGTTTTGACATTTTGCGTCGAAACATTTAAAAGTCTGAATCACTTTTCAAATTGTTGCCACCCAATCTTATCGCCCTGTATTATATTTAAAGAAATTAAATAATGAAGAATATGCATAAATGTATATATGTTTTTCGCATTCTGATAAAATAACGGAACCTAGAGCCATCAAATTTTGAATAACGTAAGTCTCCGCCCGAATGTGGGCATCTGGAAACTCAAATTTGGAATTTGTTTTATTATACATTTCATATTTTGTAAAGCATTTATGATTAAGAAACTCAACGATTTCAAAGCGAGCAATGGCAACACTGTAGGGAAAATCATTTTTATCTCCAGTGCGCGGGAATGTGCATCCGCAATTCTAAAGATATGCTCTTTTTAAATTATTTTGTGATATTGCTGTTGAATTGAATTGTATGGTTTAAGTGCAAAGAACATGATACAGTCAAAAGTCGTTAATCCGGACTCGTCGGGACTTCGGCGATTCCGGATTATCGATTTTTCCGGATTATAGATCATCAGTTTAAATCGCGTAAGATGGCATGCAGAAATTCTAAAATTAAAAATATGAAACCGTAATTTATGAAATAAAGAACAATTTTGATCTAAAGGGTATCAAAATTTACAAAAAAAAGCTTAATATTTATTTGTTTACTTTATTAAACATTTCTTTCAATGTAAGGTTTAAGTTGCTTCGTTTTATGTGATAATACTTTCTCTTTAATTCTATAAACAGATATAATTTTTTGTTCACTTACAAAGTTCCGCTGTTCAAGTCCCGTTAATTCCTGTGCCGAGAATACCGACTAACTTGTCAATCGAAATTTTTTCGTTTTCACTAACCTCTCTGTCAAATTCTTCATGTCTTTATCCATTTTCAGCAATTCCACTTTTTGTTTGATGGACATCGAAACATACTTTCGTTTTGTACGATCCTTTGGGAGCTCCAGATTCGGAAATTCTATTTGACATAATCGAAAGTTCAAGTTTACTTTTATAGTATTGCTCTTACAGTCTGCAAAAAATAATAAGCCGGATCCAATTTGAAAATTAAGGAACAACGCAATCATCAACATTAAGTGAAATAGATAATTAGATAATTTTAGCTTACACCGTCCGTTATACATAAAACGCGCACGCGAAAACGTATTCTGCGCTTGCGCACACGCAAATACGCAGTCATAAGAGGTCTTACGCGCACGCGTAAACGCCTGTGCGCATGTGTCAACGTGGTGCATGCGCAGAAAGTTTTTAGCTTTGAGGTCCGGATTATAGATCATTCCGAATTATGGGTGTCCGAATTAACGACTTTTGACTGTACTTGATAAATAAAGGTAACACACAAAAAGATACTGTTTCGTGATATAAGATACGTAGCGTATTCGGAAACTAAGTACCGTTTCATTCTAGCGCCGTCGCAGCGCTGTGGTAGGCATCCCGCGCATGCGCACTAGTCTTTCTTGTTCACTGAGTTTCAATTGTTGGTTTTGGTTGCTCTATGTTGTGTTTTATGTTTGCTGTGCACATTCAAAATGTTTAAGAGAATTAGTTCTCCCGCTGACTGTGAGATTCGTGCCGCAATTAAATTTTTGAACGCGAGGAATGTTAAACCAGCCGAAATTTATCGTCAAGTGACAGAAGTTTATGGCAAATACGCGATAAGTGATGGAATGGTGAGAAAGTGGGTAAGAATGTTTAATGCAGATCGAACAAATGTCCACGCCGAAGCTTGGAGTGGTCGGCCTTCTGTTGTCACCGATGATTTGGTAAGGAAAGTTGGTGAAACAATTCGTGAGAACAGGCGCTTCACAATGACAACTCTTTCAGAGGCATTTCCACAAATTTCACGTACTGTTTTGTTCGAAATTGTGTCTGACCGCTTGAATTATCGCAAACTGTGTTCCCGATGGGTTCCAAAAATGCTCACTGATGTTCACAAAACAAAGCGACTTGGTAGTGCCCTGATATTTCTCACGCGGTACAGTGATGAGGGAGAAAACTTTTGAAATCAAATTGTGACAGGTGATGAAACTTGGGTGTGTCATTTCACACCAGAATCGAAACAGCAATCGATGGAGTGGAGACACACTCATTCTCCGAAAAAACAAAAGTTCAAAGTGACAATGTCATCACAAAAAATCATGTGCACTGTCTTCTGGGATAGGAAAGGCGTTTTGCTTACTTAATTTCTTTTCAGAGGTGAAACCATTAATGCGGCACGATATTGTGAGACTTTAACAAAACTAAGGCGTGCCATTCAAAAGAAACGAAGCGGAATGCTCAGTAAAGGAATTGTGTTGCTCCATGACAATGCTCGGCCCCATACTGCTGGTGTCACTCAATCGTTAATTCGACAGTTTCATTGGGAGCAGTTCGATCACCCGCTGTACAGCCCGGACTTGGCGCCGTCCGAATATCACTTGTTCCTGCACATGAAGCGCGAGCTTGTTGGCAAGCACTTTGGATCTGATGATGACACGAAAAATGCTGTGGAGTCGTGGTTATCGAAACTGGCAGGATGTTTCTTTGACGATGGTATCTTTGACAAAAACTGGTCACCCGCTATGACAAGTGTTTGATCATTGGCGGAAACTATGTTGAAAAATAGTTTAAGACATGTATTTTGATGTAAAAATAAAATTGGATTCGAAAAAATTGTTTTACTATTTTTTTTTTTTTTTTTCAAAATGGTACTTAGTTTCCGAATACGCCTCGTATATTACCGTTAAACAGAAAAATCTGAATTTACGTATATCTTAGAAAGTAATTTTGTATGAGAAAAAAAATCTAATTTTTACGCGTTCCTCTGGTTCTATACTTTGAAAATTTTGTACTTCATAAAAAATTAAACATAGGAGGTTTTATTCTCGTACGGCAAAAATTGACCGAGATATTTAATTTCAAAATTTGCTGTATTTGATGTCATTTTGAATATGTATTGATGATCCGGTTAATAAAGAAATGAGAATAATTCGAAGTTGATTTTTCGTCCCTTAAATGTCATTCAATGATTCTTTTGCGATTTGTTTATAATTTTGTTACATATGGTATGCCGAAAGAATTTTAACACAAGCAATTTGAAGGAGAACACAAGTAGTTTGGAAGTCTAAAACTTTGTGATTAATATTCTCACACGGAAGTTTTATTACTTTAGAATTACAATCTGATAACCTGAAAAATTCACTAAAATACTATATAAAATATTACGAGTGCCAATAATGAAGTCTACCAGTGCCTTTCGGGAAACGAATTCTTTAAGATTCGGTAAATAAGATCGCCATTTTGAAAAAAAAAAAAAAAAAAAAAAAAACCTATATTCATCACTATTTTTCGCTGTAAATTTGCACAGAAATGCTCGTCACGTAATCTCTTTACATAAGAAACCCTTTTCTGTATGATATTTTATTTACACACAAATGCAAACATTTTGTGTACAGCCCCTGAATACGATTACCAATTTTTATATCAATACCTCAGTCAAAATTTTGTCGTACGGGGGCCAAACTTTTTGTGTTTTATTTTTTATAATGAGTAAAAAAATTTTCTAAATGTAAGTGTAGAGACTGGAGAAAAGTGTAAAAAGTTTAGATTTCGTATTTTATTCAAAGTTACTTTTTTTTTAACCTTAAAAATATGCAAACGTGAATCTTTGCATTATTGAAAATATTTCTGTTAGTATGCGTCTACAACAAACAGTTTTGAAAATAAAGGCCAAGTAAAGGCTTTTGTGAACCTCGCCATGAAATTTTATCATATTGTATGGGAAATATAAATTCCAGCAAAGAAAGTGATATAAAACTAAGACTTAACTGGGTCAAGACAAAAGAGAAGCACCCCAAAGTAAAGTCCCAATCACATGTGTTTCCGCTACTAGGGACTGGACTTCGAAAGGGACAATTTTTAGAACGTGCGCATTTCCACGAAACCTAAGTAGCTGGTCCCAATCACATCATATTTCGGCTACATGGGATTTAATGCCCAAAATACATGGCCAAAATACATGGCTACATGGGACTTAATTCCAAAGGAACAATTCTCAGAACTCACACAATTCCAGGAAACCCACGTAGCTAGGTTACCATTTTCAGTTACTACAAAGACTTGAATGCCAAACAGTAATCGATTATTGCTCAGATTGGAATCGAGTGCTTCTTCAGAAGCAGAACTTTTGTGTGATTGGTTGATGTCTACCCGGGACAGAGCTGCAGAAAAAACATTTTCGGCGAGGTTTCGAAAAATTCCACGTAGCCGGTACACTGTTTCCGTAACTAGGCAAGACTTCCAGCAGAGCTGTTTTTTTCTAGGAATCCTCCCATTTAAACCAGTGTTACCAGAATCTCGTTTCTCAAAAAAGTCCCGTCTAGCAGGGACCGTCGCTAGATGTGATAACCCTTTTAAGCATTAAATTAGGCAAAACAAAAGTCTTGTGTTTAACGTAGATTTTAGTGAAGACTCTACCGATTTCAAGGGCAAACATTTGCAGGTACCTCTTCATCAAGAGCAAAAAATTCGCAGTGAAGAGAAAGCCATGATTTTATTTATACCCCCCAAAATAGCAAAGCGAATACTTCATTTAAATGATTTTAATTCCAATCCAGTCCTTCCTAAAGCTTAAAATTCTATTAATTTAATTTTGCAGTTTTCGTTACTGTTTTTTGCCGATAGATGGCACTACTTTCCCGTTTGCTTTACTTCTTTCGAGTATAAATACAACCATAGTGTTCCATCGGTTACAGATTTCTTTGCTTCTGCCGAAGATTGACTTGTATCTGTTTGCCCTCCAAATCGAAAGAGTCTTGACTAAAATCTACGCCAAGCACAAGGTTGTTGATAAATTTTCTGGATAAAGATACCAGTATACACTGGTCTAAAACAATGGATATGCAAAAATATGCAAACGTGAATCTTTGCATTATTGAAAATATTTCTGTTAGTATGCGTCTACAACAAACAGTTTTGAAAATAAAGGCCAAGTAAAGGCTTTTGTGAACCTCGCCATGAAATTTTATCATATTGTATGGGAAATATAAATTCCAGCAAAGAAAGTGATATAAAACTAAGACTTAACTGGGTGAAGACAAAAGAGAAGCACCCCAAAGTAAAGTCCCAATCACATGTGTTTCCGCTACTAGGGACTGGACTTCGAAAGGGACAATTTTTAGAACGTGCGCATTTCCCCGAAACCTAAGTAGCTGGTCCCAATCACATCATATTTCGGCTACATGGGATTTAATGCCCAAAATACATGGCCAAAATACATGGCTACATGGGACTTAATTCCAAAGGAACAATTTTTAGAACTCACACAATTCCAGGAAACCCACGTAGCTAGGTTACCATTTTCAGTTACTACAAAGACTTGAATGCCAAACAGTAATCGATTATTGCTCAGATTGGAATCGAGTGCTCCTTCAGAAGCAGAACTTTTGTGTGATTGGTTGATCTCTACCCGGGACAGAGCTGCAGAAAAAACATTTTCGGCGAGGTTTCGAAAAATTCCACGTAGCCGGTACACTGTTTCCGTAACTAGGTGAGACTTCCAGCAGAGCTGTTTTTTTCTAGGAATCCTCCCATTTAAACCAGTGTTACCAGAATCTCGTTTCTCAAAAAAGTCCCGTCTAGCAGGGACCGTCGCTAGATGTGATAACCCTTTTAAGCATTAAATTAGGCAAAACAAAAGTCTTGTGTTTAATGTAGATTTTAGTGAAGACTCTACCGATTTCAAGGGCAAACATTTGCAGGTACCTCTTCATCAAGAGCAAAAAATTCGCAGTGAAGAGAAAGCCATGATTTTATTTATACCCCCAAAAATAGCAAAGCGAATACTTCATTTAAATGATTTTAATTCCAATCCAGTCCTTCCTAAAGCTTAAAATTCTATTCATTTAATTTTGCAGTTTTCGTTACTGTTTTTGCCGATAGATGGCACTACTTTCCCGTTTGCTTTACTTCTTTCGAGTATAAATACAACCATAGTGTTCCATCGGTTACAGATTTCTTTGCTTCTGCCGAAGATTGACTTGTATCTGTTTGCCCTCCAAATCGAAAGAGTCTTGACTAAAATCTACGCCAAGCACAAGGTTGTTGATAAATTTTCTGGATAAAGATACCAGTATACACTGGTCTAAAACAATGGATATGCAAAAATATGCAAACGTGAATCTTTGCATTATTGAAAATATTTCTGTTAGTATGCGTCTACAACAAACAGTTTTGAAAATAAAGGCCAAGTAAAGCTTTTGTGAACCTCGCCATGAAATTTTATCATATTGTATGGGAAATATAAATTCCAGCAAAGAAAGTGATATAAAACTAAGACTTAACTGTGATATGAATACCAGTATACACTGGTCTAAAACAAGAGAAACCGTGTGATGTTAGTATGGCAATATTAACAACGTAAAAATTATTGATTCACATTTCGAGATTTACGTTTTGGTAGGCAATAGCCTTCAGGTGAAATATTAACTAAATGAAATTAAAATTATTTATCACTTTGAAATTCATGAAAAGCTTATTTACACGAAAGCTTATCCCAAATTAAATTTAAGCGGTTATATAAAGTTAAAAAGAATGTAAATATTAATAATATTCGTCAGCTCTAATAGAAGAAGTATAGAACAAAATCTAAAATTACTAACCTTTCCTTTGAAGTCTGAAATTGAAGATCGTAAAAGTTCTTTCAAATATGAATCTTCTTTAGACTAAAGGAAGAGAAAATAATAATATATAAATATTTTATTGTGCAATATATATTCAGTTAAATACTTATAATAAAGAATAACATGCATTTACCGGCATAATAGCTTTCTGACAAAACTGAAGTAGCACTAAAAATCTCTTATAAAAATTTCTAAAAGGATTAAGTCAAACCAGGGGATTTCAAACCCTGCTGTGATTCATTCGTATATATTTCATACGTAAATATGCGATGATTTGGGAATGATGCAGATAAATGTTGAAGTACAAAATTAGAAGCTTTTAGTCGTAGCAGATTTTAAATATTCGTTTGATTTTAGTTAAATATTTTGTGACCACAGACAAATTTGCACACTAAACGTGTCTGTTTCAGAACATCTAAGTAGGCCGAAGAGGGCAAGCAGAGTAGAAATGGAGATGCATAGTTATCCAATATGGAGGCTTAATTTAAGTGAAAGGTTTTGATTTCAAGGCATTTAATTGGGTAATTAATACAGCTTAAATTATTATTCTGTGTTTGAGTTTTGGCTCCATTTCGTCCCCGGCGCTATGTAAAAGTCTTATGATATGGATTAATCTAGAAATCATTCTGTCCAGAAAAAGTTGTTATAAACAATTGGTATTGCTTGTATATCGATTGTTCAGATATGTTATAAAGTATAAAAGAATTTTAAGGAAGATATTTTAAAAGGAACTATTCAAATTTGAAAGATTTTGCAGAGACAATAATGAAAATTATAAATACGAACAAAGATAGAATTGGAATTTGGCACTGAGACTCAGATTTTGAATTTTATGTGTTCTTCTTGACCACTCCCTTATTTTGATCACACGGCCGGCTTGTACAGGCTAGGAGAATCGGGGCTGTGCCTTGTAATAAAAATGATAGTGTTATAAGGTATTTCTCTCACCTTCTTAGCATGTCTTCGTGGTGTAGTGGTCAGCACGCTCGTCGCGTATTCGAGAGGTCCGTGTTCCAGTCCCGACGAGGACATTGTTCAATTTTTATCTCGTCTGCTTTAAAAAAAATACCTTATGCCTCTACAGTGGCGCCCGAACTAAAAAAGGTGGTGGTGGATGATGATTCTCCACCACCAGGATTTGGCGATTGGGTTTCCTAATCCCTAGTCGCCCTTTAAAAGGGGGGAGTATATAAAGTATTTCTCCCGCCTTCTTAGCATACCTTCGTGGTGTAATGGTCAGCACGCTCGACGCATATTCGAAAAATCCGTGGTTCGATCGCCGACGGGGGCATTGCTCATTTTTATCTCCTGCTTCGAAATAATATAAATGTCTCTATAATGTAATGCGTCATTTTCGTTTGCAGTAATCTCCAATGCTGTATACTCTCGTTCAGTCACTGTTCATTATTCAAACAAAGCATAGCGAGCTTATTTATAGATCCTACTGAAGTACGCAATCACTTCTCTCCTCTCCTCTCGCTATGTAGGCATGTAATTAACCGTTTGGAAGCTTCTCTATTATAATAATGCGATTTTTTTCTTCTTGGTATGCTCTAGAGCCGGTTTTCGGCCAAATCTGTCTCAGCCAGTTTATGCCATCTTGATCCATCCAACGCCGCAGTCCTTCACCCATTGACACCAACGTTCTTCATTCAAACAAAGGTGCTGGTCTTCCTCTCCTTCTCTTTCCCTCTGGCTTTTGGAATGTCACTCTGTTCACTAGATATTCATCTCCATAAATGTGTATATGGCCTAGCCATCTTAGTTGAGAGGCTTCAATAACTTTTTTATTGGGTTGGAACATAAATAATGGCCGTTTATGTTGTGTTTAAAATTACGCGGTAAAAGTAAAATATACTGGCATAATGTTTTGTATTATTCGAAAGAGAATCTTTCCCTCTACAAGATGGCGTATTTGATTTTTCTGTCTGAGGTAATTTTTGTTATTTTTCAAATCCTTAAAATGTCAAGTCGACAAAAATAAGCATTGTCGAAACCTTTTTGCGTTTAATCGAGGCGCCAAAGCTGCAGAAGCTGTCAGAGAGATATGTGAAGTGTATGGAAAAGGTGCAATACCAGAACGAACTGCAAGAAATTGATTTGCCAAGCTCAAAAATGAAAATTTCGACCTCGAAGACGCTGCTCGTTCCGGACGACCCAATGAGTTTGATGAAGAGCATTTGAATCAAATTCTGCACGAAGACGAGCGTCAAACCACTCGAGAATTAGCCAAACGACTATAGTTTCGGCATCTGTAACCAACGACGCTAACCAACGATCTGTAACCAACGACATTTGGTTGTAACCAAATGACTATTGTTTCGACATCTGTAACCAAACGACTAACCAACGATCTGTAACCAACGACATTTGGTTGTAACCAAATGACTATAGTTTCGACATCTGTAACCAAACGACTAACCAACGATCTGTAACCAACGACATTTGGTTGTAACCAAATGACTATAGTTTCGACATCTGTAACCAAACGACTAACCAACGATCTGTAACCAACGACATTTGGTTGTAACCAAATGACTATAGTTTCGACATCTGTAACCAAACGACTAACCAACGATCTGTAACCAACGACATTTGGTTGTAACCAAATGACTAGAGTTTCGACATCTGTAACCAAACGACTAACCAACGATCTGTAACCAACGACATTTGGTTGTAACCAAATGACTAGAGTTTCGACATCTAGGTTCTATGAGTAAAGTCACAAAAGTCGGATATTATTCATTAATGTATTGCTTTTTGTTTTGTTAAAATAAAAATTTTTAAATTAAAAAAAGGCAATTATTTATGTTTCAACCAAATAATATTTGGTTTTCTAAATTATTGCTGGAGTTCAAAATTATATCACATTCTCTACACTCCATTTTCCCTTATTTGCTCCAAAAATTCTTCTCAAGATCTTTCGTTCAAATGCCATTACTCTATTCTCATTTGCTTTATTCACTGTCCAACACTCACTTCCGTAAAACACCAACAAATCTTACTAAGGTCTTGTGCAACTGTATTTCAGTTTTACTGCTTAAGTATTTTCATTTAAACTGGTTTCGTAATCCATAATTAGATATGTTAGGAATATTGATTCGGTTTTCAATTTCAATAGTTATATCATTATTATTATTTACAGTTGTACCCAAATATTTAAATTGTTCCCAGCCACCTCAAAAACATAGTCATTTATTTTCGGTTGTATCAGGTTATGTCTTCGGTTTGTAACTGTCATGAACTTAGTTTTTTCTTCATTGATGGTCAAACCAATATTATTTTTGCGGACTCGAGAGCAAAAAAAAGCCTCAGCTAACAGTGTGATTTGCGTATATAAAACTTCGGGATGCTTGTAGACCACTAGTGTTGTTCCAATCAAGAATGAATTCTATGAAATTCGTCGTTCAGAAATAAAATGATTGTTTTACCTATCAAGATAGTTATGTTTCTCCAGTTATTTTTACAACAGTTTCAAGTTATCTTCTATCACACATCGTACTCGTATGCGAGCTAAATCTCTTTAAATCTTGCTCACGATTGCTAGTTAATTTGCTTCATCTTCTGCAAAATTATTACAAATTATGTATTGAAGTCTACATAAATTCCAAGTTTATGAAGTCGTAATTTTTTAAAAAACAATAGAAAAACTAAAAGTAAAAATTTTTCAAAAACTTTTATTTTGATTCACTTCAAATTACTATGAACGCTGAACACAAAGGCGTAAATTCTCACAGTGGTCTCGCAGCACTCAAAAATAGACTGAGCTGAACTCAGCTCTGAGCTAAATCGAAAACAAATGCTCTCTCTGGTCTTAGATAGTTTCCGAGAAATTTCCAGTACTCATTACAGTTGCATGGGAATCAGACCAGTTACGCTTACATAGGGTTCGGAATGAAACGTTTCCAAATAGTTGCCGAGATTGGCGATTTGCGCCGAATTTGGTGATAAAAATTAGTTGCGAAAACTAAAGTCAACTTGGCGCTTAGCTGTTTACCTCAGTGTTAAATAGAACCTTGTTTATCCTGCGATGTTTTGTTCTCTTCAGGCCTTTCATGTTACATTATAAAAGACACTACAATTTACACATAATTTCATCAAAATTATTTACGTTATACCAAATCCGTAACATCATAATTTAGTTTGTAATAGGGTCAGTTTGCATGTCTACCAGACATCAGACCACATATCATAATGTAGTTTATAGGATTATACTAAAACTACGAAATTACGCAGGGCCGATCCTAGCGGAGGGGGAGATGGTGCACAGAACGTGGGCGGCCAAATATAAGGATATACGGTCGACGGTCTTGGACCGGTACTGATATTACGAATTCAATGACTAAAGATCATGGACCTTGATCTTATGTTTCTTATAAGGTCCATGCTAAAGATGCGCCAGTTGAAGAGTTGGAATGTGGAGTAAGTAAAAATGTGGAGGAGGGAGGATGAGCAAGTATGACCCACACAAATCCGACTGCAGGTATTTTGGGTGGACTGGATGAAAGCATAGTTAGTGCCCCGAAAAATTAACCGTCGTGATTCAAATTACACAGTGGAACCTCGAGATGCGAGTTTAATTTGTTCCAGTATTGAGCACGTATAGCGAATTTCTCGTATCTAGAAACAAACTTCCCCATTGAAAATAATGAAAATCCAGTTAATCTGTTCCGCATACTCAAAAATCCCATTTCATCTTCAGTAGACGTACCTGTTGTTTTTCGGAGAACGTCCAACTACAGATTCTTAGTCTTAGCGCAAATAATAGCTTCCGATACCGAATCGCTTTTTAACTGCTTTCTCGTTAATCCAGACCAACAACAACTTTTCAACATCTTCTAGGAGTTTTGGATGGGGCTTGGAAATAACGGTAACTCCTTTGGCAACATCAAGTTTCTTAATTTCTACCTTCTTCTTCAGAAACCACAGATCGTTGAGGTCGAACGGCCGTATATCTTTGCCAGTTCCATCACTCTTACACCACACTTATATATGATTTCTTTCGTAATTTCAACGACTATGGCTTCTTTTGTTTTCTTTGCAGCACTTTCTGAGGCAACAATCTTCTTGCGATGCATCGTGAAATAATTATTTTCACGTTAAATGTAAAATCAATGAACTCAGAAGCGCACAAACACGTAGATTAAAGAACACTGACTGAGTGCCATCAACCAGGCTCATTGCTCGAGTCAATGCTCCTATTTAGAGACAAATGTTTCGCTCGTAATTTCCTAGTATCTCGAATCTCTCGTATATGGAGATGCTCATATCTCGACGTTCCACTGTATGCTTTTATTTAGTTGTCACTTGCGATAACAACTTGTCTGCTGCCCTTTGCCAGTATCCTAGGCAGCTGCCTCTGTTATTCTGTGCTTGGAACAAACGCTGAACCCACGGTAGGGCACTATATAGGGCAGATAAACTGTTAACCTGCATATACATCAATAAAATAAGTTCCATGTCACTGCTTTTTGCAGCATTTTATATAGAATCTGAGGGAATGTTATCAAGACTTGCGAACTTGTAGAGTCATTAGGATATTTTTGGAAGCCAGAGAGATGAAAAAGAAGCAACCTTCTTCGCCGGGAATCGAACCACGGACCTCTAGAATACCGGCCCAGCGTGCTACCGTTACACCACGAAGGCACGCTAGGGAACTGGGAGAAATACCTTATAAACTTATCAACGTTATCTAGGGTGTTGGCTACTGAATCTGAAAAAACTACGAAAGTTCATTTTCGTTTAAACTGAAACTTATAAACCGTTTTAAACACCACATTATATATTCTTATTCAGAAATTTATGAATTGCTCTAAACAGCTCAGCTTTTGCTGCACATAAAACCAATTTTGGATTATTCAGTTTTTTTCTATTACACATGCATATTTCATATACGGCTAACCGGGAGTTCAGTGCAAGTTTAAAGATTTTTTTCAAATATTTCATTTCCTTAACTGTTCAATTTCGTTAGCTATTTTAGAAAATAATGTTATGTAATGGAAGATTAGCGTAACAAACCTTAAAATGCTTTTCAATTACTCATACCTCAGCTAGAGTAGCCTTCAGTATTACTCCGGTATCAAAAGATGAGCTAGGCTTTGGTTCCAAAAGGATCTAGAAGTAAAAATTATCATATATTTACTAATGTCATTCGCACTAGAACTTTTATACATTAGCAACTATGCAAAATTACGTATCATAATTTAGCAGCTGTGAAGAGATAAACTGAAAAAAATATATATATAAACGTCATTCACAAAATATGTAAGCAGTCAGTCGCTTGAAACAGTTATTTACAGAAAAGAAAAAATCTAATGTGTGTCATCCCATGACCTCCCACCAATTGTATGTAAAGATGTAGTATTCTCGGAATAGCAACAAGTTTTAAGTAAACTATCATTTTCACTTGAAGTAAACTATCATCTCCGATTGTTTCCAGATGCATTTAAAGATATCTGTAAAGGAATTTTTTTTAGGAATACATTCGCCAGCACGCCCCTCTACAAAATTACTTTATGTATAAGTCTCGAAAAAGAATTTTGCGTTAAATCACTGGAAAAGGCTGGATCACTTTTCGAACTGTTGCTATCAAATATTATCAAACTGTATTGTTTTAAAAGAAATTAAATAAAGAAGAATGTGCATGAATTCAGGTACATTTCTCGCATTGTGAAAAAACGACGGTACCTAGCGCCATCCAGTTTTAAATAACATAATCCTCCACCCAAACATGGGCACTTGAAAGCCCAAATTTTAAATTTGTTTTATTTACCTATTTCACATTTTGTAAAACTTTAACGAATTTTTGATTAACAAACTCAACGATTTCAAAGCGAGCAATGGCAACACTGTACGGAAAAATCATTTTTATATGCAGCGCGCGAGACTGCGTATCAGAAATTCTAAAGATATGCCCTTTTTTAATAATTTTTAATATTCGGTTGAATTGAATTTTATGTGGTTTAAGTGCAAAGAACATGATATTTAATAAATAAAGATAACACACAATACGTTAAAAAACATATAAGTATAAAATCTGAAAGCTTTCAGATTTCTTTAAAGTTTTTTTTTACATCTTGCAGCCATACCAACGAAAAGTCATCATTGCTATAATTTTCCAGGAATTAATATCTAATTATTTTTGCTTATGTATCTAAGTACTTGGACAAGCGATAAAACTTGAAGTAGCATGACTTCTTGAACTATTTTAGCTTTAGTAGTTACAAATGATAAACATCTTTAGAAATCTTAGTCACTTCTAGCATTTTCATGAATTCTGGTTTGTGTATTTTCGAATTTAAAAATCATGTATTTGATGATCCAAAAGAAACTATTATCTTAATTAAAATAGTAATCGGGCATCACTGAATTTCATCTGGCCATTAAAGGAAACATAATATTTAAAATTGCAAACTACAGTACCGATATTACCTCTCTTCTTTCTTCTTCTGTTCCACCGCTTTCGATCTCTGATGACTCTCTGAAAAGGTTATATTCTGGTAAATATGAATATGCTTTTAGGATCAATGAAACAAAAGTTAAATACAATGTAGGGGAAAACAAGGTATTTCATGACGCTGTACATTTACTTAAAGTGCTTTTAGATTTTCAAAGATGTCTCTGTGACTGTACTGATTCTGTGTCTTTCTTCTCTGTAACTGTACTGATGTTTTACTTTTTATTTAACCAAAAAATGTTTGTTTAAGCTTTAAAATAAATATTAAGAAGGCCAGTGGTCTGATTATTTTTCCATCTCGGAATCTCGCTTACGTTACAACCTCCGCGATCTCAAGCATGTCAAGTTCTTATAACAAGATATTTTTCATTCATATCATACACCTAGCATTTGTACTATTAGTGTCGCCATCTATCGGCATCTTATTTAACCAAAAAGTGTTTGTTTAAGTTTTAAATAAATATTAAAAAGACCAGTGGTCTGATTATTTTTCCATCTCGGAATCTCGCTTACGTTACAACCTACGCGACTTTCAAGCATGTCAAGTTTTTATAACAAAATATGTATGTTTTTTTACATATTTATCATACATATCATATGCCTAGCATTTGTGCTATTAGTGTCGCCATCTATCGGCGTCTTAATAAATGAACTTCTTATCAGAAAGTGAATTTAATAATATTACATTGTACATATGTATAATACATCATGATTATCAATTTATATCCTAAATAAAAAACATTCAAAAAATATTTCTTAATAAATACGTTACAACCTCCGCGACTCTCAAGCAATTCAAGTTTTCATAATAAAATATGTATGTTTTTTACATATTTTTCATACATATCATAACCTAGCATTTGTTCTATTAGTGTCGGCATCTTAATAAATGAACTTCTTATCAGAAAGTGAATTTAATAATATCACATTGTAGATATGTTTATAATACATCATGATTATCAATTTATATCCAAAATAAAAAACATTCAAAAAATATTTCTTAATAAATTTGTGTCAGATCACACATGAAATTTGTGTCAGATCACACATGAAATTCGGAAATTAAAAGATTTAGCACCGAGTAAATATCATTTGACATCTTTGAAAAAAGTCACACTAAATTATGATTGCACAATCATAGCGAAATTAGATTTTAATTGTATTGAAGATGGATATTAACTTACAAAAAATATATTAGAAAAGATTCTTAATTTTATTAAATACTTATTATTTTTTTACTTTAATTTGTAAATAAGTATACGTTTCGTAAAAGAAAAAACGTATTAACTAAATTTACAATATATAACTTATAGGCAATATGCTAACTGTAATAAAAACCAAAGTTAAAAAGTTTCATAATAATTTAGCTTTATTGATCAAATTAATGTAAAGAGCAATGAATAATTATTAATGTATAAATAGTAACTGTGAACTGCTTACTACATTGATTTTAGAACACGTTGGAGAATAATGTATCCGAGTACCTGGTTGTAAACATGTAATCGAAGATTTTTATTTTTTTACACTTAAACTAACTGTACTTTTAAGCATCTCAGTACAACATTCTCGAAAGAAATTTGAGTTCATTCAAAATCAATATGTTTATTTTCATTTATGAGGAAAAGTAATCGCAAATCCACAAATACTACGAAAGAATGCTAAATAAATCACTTACGCTAAATTAAAACAAAAAGATGGACAGGTCGTCATCACAGATACATCTTCCATTAACGGAGTTTCTTCTTCTATCCTGTAAATAAATAAAAAATATAGATAACACGTCACAGTTTCGGTACCCAATATTTTGGAAGAATCTGGAGAATCAATGTTAATAAGAATAAACATGTGGTCTCTCTTTACTGTGAAGAGGAGCTAGAGAGGGAGATTATCTTTAAAGAATTTTGCTGTTTAAAGAATTTCGCCGGGATTCGAATCTTGAACAGAACTACCAGTGTTCAGCTACTTCACTGCTCGGCTGTTGGTGGGCCTCAGTAGTGGAGCCAGTGATACACAGAAATTAATATCGTCTGCTATAATGACCCACAGATAAATACAGTCACGTTTGTGAAAATTGCAACACCATGAAGGACTTACGCGAGTGAGCTGAAATTTTCAGGAAATGCAAAGTAGCGCATGATATGCAAATGATTAGAATTGCAAATCCGTAGCGCATGCGTATGCTGAGCAGCGCCCTCTGAACGGCTGATGGATCCGAATAAATAGACGGCTGTAGCGAGGCGTGTATGGTTATCGGTGGTTATCTGCTAGTGGTAAACGTTAACTCAATCTGTACTTATGCCTCGTCGACGAAAGAGAGCGAGATTTGAACAACTTACAGAGTTTGAACGAGGAGAAATCATCGGCCTTCGTGAAGCTGGATTGTCGTATCGTGCAGTAGCCTCTCGTGGCAGCGTAACAGCAGCACAGTGATGCGCGTTTGGAAGCAGTGGACGGACGAGTGTCGGACAACTCGGAAATCCAGGGTGGACCCCGAAATGTGACGTCAGCTCGCGATGATAGACACCTGGTCCGCATGGCGCGGACGGACCGTACAGCTTCCTCTAGACAATTGGCAGCACTGTGGTCAATAGCTACAGGTGTTTCATTGTGTGCTTCATCAATTCGTAGACGTATGCTGCAGTGTGGACTGCGCGCACGGACTCCTTTATACAGGATCCCCCTAACGCACGACCATCGCGCCTGCGGCTACAATGGGCCAATCAGCATAGAGACTGGCGTGCTGATTGGCAGCATGTCGTGCTTTCTGACGAATCCGCTTTAATTTTGTGGTACCATGATGGCCGCATTCGTGTCAGACGCTATGCCGGTGAACGCCACCTTCCGGAGTGCATTATCGAACGCCACAGTGGACGAACACCCGGAGTTATGGTCTGGGGCGCCATAGCATATCATAGACGATCTCAATTGCTACGAATTGTGGGCAATCTGAACAGCAACCGGTATATCCGTGAAGTTCTACAGCCCGAAGCTGTTCCCTTCCTTCAAAGCTTGCCAGGCGCTGTATTTCAACAGGACAATGCCCGCCCTCATACTGTTCGGATTGTTAAATCCTTCTTTGCAGCGCAGCAGGTACAGCTTCTTCCTTGGCCTGCGTGTTCCCCGGATATGTCGCCAATTGAACATGTGTGGGATGTCATTGGTCGGCATCTTGCTCGTGATCCTCGTCCTGTTGCGTCTGCAGACGAACTTTGGGTACGCGTACAAACGATATGGAATGCTCTTCCTCAGTCAGACATTCAAACTTTGTTTGACTCCATGCCACGTCGTGTAGCAGCACTTATTGCGGCGCGTGGTGGCCACACAAAATACTGATTCTGATCTCTTGTTCTTGTTTGTTTGCTTTGAACATTTAATCATTTATTTGTACCACTACCACTCAACTGTGTATTAAATTGCATTCAATTATGACGATTCCTTCTTGGTGTTGCAATTTTCACAAACGTGAGTGTAGAATGTTTAAATGGGAAAAAATGTTACAAATTATCGTTTTGATATTAGTGGATTAAAGGAAATTATAAAAGACCTGTTTGAAAAGTAAAGACTGCTAAACTTCATACACCGTTTCATAAACAGGTTGACCACAATTGCATTAAACGATAACTAGGTGAATAAAAATTTATTTATAAGACCTCTTATGCACAAATATTGAGTTTATAGGAACTTTTCTCAGAAACCACATAAGAATTTTTATATAATAGAAAAAAAGAAGTGAAGAGTTGATGCAGACAAGGTTGTCCAATATTTGGCCTGTGGTGGTCTATATTGGAAATTTTCTTGATAATAGATACCATCAAATAGTAAGGATCTAATGAAAAAGCAGAGTTGCAGTTAATTTTGGTGTTTGACTACAAATGTGGCATTATGCAGTTTACAGTCTATTTTTAACCTATCAGATGCTATTTGAAGACCAAATGCTAATGAAACACAAAAATAAAATCTCCGCAAGTAACAAATAGCCGAGGGCAGCAAAATGGATGATATTTTTCCTCTATAGACCATAAGATGCAGTTTACAGTCTATTTTTAATATATAGACCGCATCTGACCTGCCAAAAGCTATTTGAAGACCAAATGCTAATGAAACACAAAAATAAAATCTCCACAAGTAACAAATAGTCGGGGCAGCAAAATGGATGACAATTTTTTCTCTTACAAGAAGGGTTCCAATGAAAAATTTGACAATTTCGATAAACAGATGCGAAACTTTTTCCAGGGGGAAATTTGAGCATCAGACCACAGAAGTATTAGATTTTAGTCTAAATGCTTCACAAAATCTAATATGCATTTAATAGATTAGCACAAAAAAAGTGATATAATTTATCTTCATAGTTATTGTAGGTTTGTTTTGTCCCGTCTTTAATGCAACCGTTTATCATTCACTTTCATGCAGAGTTTTAAATCAGAATTGTGCCCTAAGTTTTACATCGGGAATCTAACTTTTTCCACGAAGTTTTTATAATAAAAGCTTTCGCACTGTTAAACGTCAGTGCGTTTCGTATTAGAATGCACAGAAATTTTCTTGATAATAGATACGATCAAATATAGGCTCCAATGAAAAAGCAGAATTGCAGTTAATTTTTGTGTTTGACTACAATGAGGCATTATGCAGTTACAGTCTATTTTTTAATATTTTTGCTTTCATTATACACTCATTTTCAAAAGCAAAGAAGCAAAATGAAGAAAGTGACAGGTATTGAAATGATTAAAAATTCAAAGCCATAGGACGAATCCATGGCTAGCAATTGTCCATTGAATGCTCAAATCGGTAATTGATGAACTCCCCTCGCAGCGATGCATGTTCGTAAACGTTGAGGTAAAGGGTGATAAAAATACCTGATCTCTTCCTAAGGTACATTCTGCCAGGCATACCTTAACTGTTGATCCAAATCTACGATATTTTGAGGTGACCGAATCTGGCCAACCATATCTCATACATGTTCGATTGGCGAAAGGCCTGGTGACCTTACTGGCTAAGAAAGAGTATCGACAGCTCGGAGACAGTACAGGGATATGCGAGCTTTATGGGATCTAACATTATCCTTTTGAAAAATACTTAGCTCGAGCGTGGCGTACCATGAAGGGAAACGTAAACGTCCGCTGGATGTCATCAGCATGTCGTTGACCATCTTTAAAATATCACGGAAATGCCTTCACATAAATCCTTTATTGAATTCAGCTTGAGCATCTTTATCATAGAGGGGGAAGGAAGGGTTTACTTAGTTCTTCCAATATTATGTATTTAATATCATTGCATTAACAACATATTGGTACGTTTTTCTTCTGACACCAGTTGTTACGTTATTTTCTTCCTTCACGTTCGTACGGCTTCGTGAGGATTTGGAGTGAATAATGACAATACTACTTGATGAAGTATCTAAACACACTTTATTGGCCAGTATTGTCAGGACAACTCAAAAGCATGTTTTTGCTCCAAACGCGATGAACTACTATAAACACGCTGACACGATCCGCGACACAGCCTCCAGGTTATCAGGCTATCACGGTGGAGACAGCTTCACCGCAAAGCACCAGAGTCCAGCTTTCGACTCTTCTTGGTCGTTCTCGCAACTCCACGTACTCTCGAGATTCTCCACGCTACAATTCGCGATGCACTCGACGACATGCAGAGCACAGCTTCGAACTCTTCGGTTAAGTCGTTCCCGGAGCTCAACACACTCACTCGGCGATGCACTAAACGCGATACACTAAGAGACTTCGATGCACACGATGACCCACTCGTCACTCGTGCCCGGCTGGCAACTCGATCGACTTCGCACGGACTGACTAACTCGAGACTAACTATCTTGCACTCAAGACGAGGCACTCTCTGACTCGCCCTCTCGATGAGGCACACTCACACTGACTGCGGACCAGCAGGATTTATATAGCTTTCGGCTTGTGTTCGAGAACATTCTGGGCTAAACTGGTAAGAATTCGTTCCAGAAGGTGCTCTCTCCGTACATGGAATATCGCCGATTTTGTCGCCAAACGGGCGATTTCTCGCCAAATGGGGCAACCCTGTCTTCTTTTATCATTTTATGGCAACCCTAATCCTGCTTTGCGGGGAAGCTATCTCACCGTACCAGTACATTTCGTAACAATATGTTTTAAAACCCTTTTCAGCAAGACTATAATTTACATGGCATTTATTTGATAATAATGGAATTCACTTACTCAGTTAAAAGGTCTTCTACAGTTTCCTTTACGCCTTTCACTGTTTCTTCGTCGTAGTCATCATCGCCGGTTACTTTTCTTGTCTGCAGAAAATATCGCAAAATATTATTAAACACGCTTGGAAGAAATCTCTAAAGAATGAAAAATACCATAAACTGTTAAACTTCCGGTTTTAAATTTTGATTTCAAAGACTGAAACAAGTGAATTATTTTAATACTGATGGAAAAAGCGTTTCGTTAAACAGAACTGCAGTCAGAGGTTTCAGTTTATGTGCTTGTTTGTATTGTTTATAATTTCTAAAGCTAAAATTTTATGCCAAAAAATATTTCATGAATTATTTTCAATTATCAACACCAGAAACCTGAAATCGAAGCAAACCGCTTTCCTTTCTAGCTTTAAAAAAAAAAAAAAAAAAAAAAAAAAAAAAAAAAAAAAAAAAAAAAAAAAAAAAAAAAAAATCATTTGAAATTTTCGTTTTGGTATGCAGGCGATTCTCGCTATGGTAACTACTGGTTAAAATAGTAGTTCCCTACAAAAAAATCATCAAGTTAAAAAAATCATCTACGGATGAGAGTACGTTAAATCGAGTTTCATATTATCATGCAGTTCCTGCTCGTGTTACTCCAGATACAGTGACCGATATGAGAATTTGTAATCGATGGGTCCAGGAAGGTCTCACAGAGAAACTTGCAGGATCTCAATGATCCCAGCACAGTTCTTTGAAAAAGATATCCCCCCGAGACAGGGCAAGATAGAGAACCCCCCTCTTGTTCCCGAGGTAGACCAATACAGCCCTCGAGAAGAAGGCTACCTTGTCCACTGCGCTGTTAAAAGGCCGTTCACACTGGGGTTTATGTGTGAGCTAACGGAGACAACTGACATAGCCGACCCATCTCCAAAACCAGTTTTTCTCCATAGGGCTGCAAGTTAAAAAATCTGAACTGCAGGCATAGGGGAGCTAGTCTACACACGAAACTGACTCCGTTAGCTCCGATAAGCGCCGTTCCCACTGGGGTTTATCTGAGCTAGATGAGTCAGTTCCATGTGCCGACTAGCTCCGTTGTGTCTGCAGTTAAGATTTTTCAACTTGCTGCCCTATGGGAAAAAACTGGTTTTGGAGACGGGTCAACTACGTTAGTTGTGTTCGTTAGCTCAGATAAACCCCAGTGGGAACGGCCTTTAAAATTTTTTAAAATTGTTTTAACTGTGTTTGGTATTCTATGTTTTGGTACTATTCCGTTTTGAGGACCGTAAAAAAATTTCAGCGAAAATGTATGCGCAAAAGCGCCAAATCTAGCAAACGCGCCCATTTAACAGTGCGCCAAATTTACGTTTTCAGATTGCGTAAGTTTATGGAGTTCTATATTTCTCAAGACGCCATTGAAATACTAGTTTAATTTTTAAATCCTTTTTTATGATTTTAAATCCTTTTTTGATATCTCATGGATTTAACAACTTGGGAATTACCCATGACGATATGTCTGCAATAAAAATTTTGGGTAAAGTGCAGAATCGCCCACTGCTTGACGCGTTTTTAAGAATTGCACATACTCGGTATCCATGTAAACATCGACCTATTTTCACTTAAAAACAAATCCCACAAATTCACAAAAATGACACTGCGCACACCCTTGACTTTACCTATGCACACATCGACTTATTTTCACTTAAAAAGTAAAAGAAAATTGACAAAAATCCATTTGTTTTTACCCTTGTAAAAAGCGGCAAACAAATAAGTGGGCGATTCTGTATTTTACCGAGAATTCTTTCAAAGAAAAGGCATCATTCATTATAGAAAATTATGTTTGAACAACCAACGAGATGAAACTATGCTTTAGCGATAACTCGGTAGCGAAATAGCGATGCAGGCATCCATTCGGTTATGTTTAGCAAATTTGATATAAATTATAATAATAAAAAAAGTATTATATAAATTAACTTTCATCTAAATTAAAACATCGATCTTAGATAGTTATTTACTATTATACTTCCTTTCTTGCGTTAGGGTTGCCTCAATTATTTTTGGCAGCACTGCCATCAACAATAGTTTGGCAATTTTTTACGGCCCTCAAAACCGAATAGTACCTATGTTTTTCTGTATTTTTCAATTTTTACTGAAGATTTTTTGCGTTTTTATGAATTTTTGCTTTGATGCGAAATGAGAACTGAATTAATTGAGAAATATATCTCTAATGAAATTCGAGGAACTGAGTTTAAATCAAATGCAGCAAAAAATATGTATAATTTGATATGCCATACAAGAAAGTCAATGTGGTGCCCACATCAGATTTTTTGATCTCATATTTCTTTAAATAAATGTGAGGAAAGCTCTGAGGCTTGTGTTGTGGGAGCTAAATACTTAAAAATACATTATACTCGTAATTAATTAGTTATCAATTTCTAGCTTAGAATAGGAATATACTTTTTTTTGGACTTGATTTAGGTTAAACCTTAAATAAGCCACACATATTATACAGGACTAATCTTGATGATCGATGTCTGTGACTTCAAATAAAACTCATGATTATTTGAAATCCATCCACAGTGATAAGCAGTTATCAGAGCCAGAAGTTTCTGAATAGCTAAAATTATCAGCCTGGCATCAAGAACAAAGTCAAAATAGCAGCCAATCGGAGAAAAGGTAAAAGCAATCTCAAAATAGAATTTGTTAATTAAGACACAATAACACGCCGAATAAATACTAATTCAGAAGTCAAACAACAAAAATCAGCGTTATATTTACAAAATTTTCACAGGACTAGTTTCGATGGTTTTACCGAACCACCATCTTCAGCTGCAAAACCGCAAATGAACAAGATAGGAAATAATGATTAGATAAGATAAGAAAGCCTGGACAAGAACAAGCAAGTGGTGCCATCTGTTGGTGAAACCAGAACTAAAACATAATTTCTTTAAAGGCCGAAGGCAAATTTGGATTGGATTCTTGTTCATTTGCGGTTTTGCAGCTGAAGATGGTGGTTCGGTAAAACCATCGAAACTAGTCCTGTGAAAATTTTGTAAATATAACACTGATTTTTGTTGTTTGACTTCTGAATTAGAATTTGTTATTCAAAATTTGAAATGGGATCATCATGAAAACTGATATTCTGTCTTATCAGTTTTCCTTATTTCCGGAAAGAAATATTCGTTTCATAAAAGTAGAATGCATATTTGTTTTACAATGCAATTTTTTTAAACAGAGACTTGTTAGTACTTTTAGTACCAGGTTTAGTTTAGTTATTTTACTTGTGTTGCAAAAAAATTTGCAATATTATAAGGTATTTCTCTCGCCTTCTTAGCGTGCCTACGTGGTGTAATGGCCAGCACACTTGGCGCATATTCGAGAGGTCCAAGGTTCGAGTCGTGACGAGGGCATTGCTCATTTTTCATCTGTCCTGCTTCGAAAACTAATGTAAATTAATGAAATCATTAACCAGTAATGTATATTATCCCTTGCGTTTCAACTTCGCTTCTGTAGATGGTATAAAAAATGTATGTGCAGGAATTAAATTTAATTAAAATTTGTTTTTGTTTAATATTTTCAAAATCCTTTTTCATATTTGCTTGGGTACGCGTTTTTTTATTAACTAAATGTAGTCAGATTTAGTTGTAAAAAATTTCGGTTGCAATAATGAAAACATTTACCTCTATCTGCTTGTCAAGTTCAGGGTAATACCACGTTATCATATCTATGAACTCCATATCTACAGTCTGAAACTAATGAGAAAAGAAAACTATTGGAATGAATTTCAATTAATAACCTATTCTCTTGTTGTAACCATATTTGCACATGACACTGAAAATTCGGAATTCAGAAAATTACTAAATAAATATAAATATTTTAATACTAAATTCAGAATTAGAAAAAATGCTTCGGGTTTTATTAGAATTATACTTTTTATCTACATTAAGTTTTTTTCAATATTTTATGACTTGCTAAGTAGATCCTAAGATTCAATAAATATTTTTTATAGTATTATATTTTTCAACTAATATTAGACGCACGCATTCTTACAATAAATGTTTGGGTTGAAACTTTAAAGAGTGGCGACACTGCTGCATATATACGCCACGAAAAGGAAACAGATGGTTCTCCCTTACATCACAAATTAATTGCCCAGTAACAGTGATTAAGACTGCTGAATATTGGGAGTTCGAACACACGTGAACGAGCTGGATGCATAGTTGTTTTCCGTGGTTTTCTTAACGTATTATGTGAATACGAGCCAGTTTCGATTGGAAAGTTCTCCCCAATCCCTTTGCTTCTCTTAGGTAGTTATCCTTGATGTGGCATGCCATATTCAAATAACCTAACCTATCACAGGTTATTGAACCTAACTCACAGTAAACGGACTCTTTCAGTCAAAGCAGTATGTGTTGCGAAAGTCAGTCTTCCGTATGTGTTGCGGAAGAGAAGAGCGAAGAACGTACGTCTCATGCGGTCTTAAATTTTATAGCTATAGTGTTTTCGAAGCAGGATCGAAGCAGGAATAGCGCAGTTGTAGGAAATTCAGAAATGGCTACAATAAAGTGGTGTGCATATGTCTTTTGACAGCGAAGACAGGACTTACATTGTTAAACTGGATGAGACATAGGCTAGATGATATGAGCAAAATTTGAAACGACAGTCGAAAAAATGACGTCATTACTGATCACCAATAGAACTCAAAACTTCAATTGAGTCACAACAATATGAAGATTAAGGAGTATTATAGTTCATTTTTGGAACTTAAGTTGTGACCAGCTTTGTAAAACGAAGTGGCGAAGGAACCGAGCTCCTCCCATCTTTTGCAGGACAATGCTCGGGTTGGTTAATTTATTAGCTCTTGGGTTAATGTTTTCTCAGTGGGTCTAATATGTGCTTGATTATATATCACTCTCTTCTGAGGTTAATTTGTTTCTCCAGTAGGGCTAATAGATGCTCGATAATCCACTATACGCTTGGAATTTGTCTTTGTCAATACGTTTCCTTTCCTAAGGAACTACTTCCTGTGATTTGTGTTTGAACTGTTGAAGATATTCATTCTTCAAGTAATAGACCGTTTCATCCAAACCATCAACAGAATAGGGGTTGCTACAGGTATGCTACGAATTTCACATCCCTGGGAGGCAGTTGCAGGGCAAGATGGTGGTAACATCGAAATCCAGTACAAATTTCACATGGGTAGTACTTGTTTTATGTCCATATATATTTGCCGCTATTAAAATTCAACCTTCGTAGTTTTATTTCTTTAATTAGACATCATCAAAGGAAAACTACACCTGTTAGCATCACGTCCTTTAGATATATCACGCTACTATAACATCGTTTTGTTTATTAATTAAACAACACATGTAGTAAACTATGAAAAGTGGTTCACCTTTAAAAAGCTGAGCAAGACATCTATAGATGACATTAGCTTTATTTAGAAAATAGATAATGTGGTCAACGATTCTAAAATTTTTCGAAAGCTATATTAATCAGTTTTAATATCAATTAAGAAACTATTTAAAGGTTTTTCATGAACAACGTGCTTAAAAAGATGAAAAGGTGATAAACCTTTCTTGGAGTGTTTTTAATAATGATATTGTTACGAAATGTACAGGCGCCGTAAGATAGCTTCCCCGCAATGCAGTTTTAGGGTTGCCATAAAATTGCAAGGGAAGGCAGGGTTGCCACATTTGGCGAGAAATCGCCCATTTGGCGACATAATTGGCAAAATACCGTGAACGGATGGAGAACCTTCTGGAACGAATTCTTACCGGTTTAGCCCAGAATGTTCCCGAACACAAGCCGAAAGCGATATAAACCCTGCTGGTCCGCAGTCACTTAGTGTGTGTCTCTCATCGAGAGTGAGTGTGTGTGCTTCATAGAGTAAGTGCCTCGTCGAAAGGGCGAATGAGTGTGCGAGTTAGTCAGTATTGAGTGTGTGTCTCGTCTAGCGAGTCAAGCCCTGCGGAATCGATCGAGTTGACAGCCGGCCAGCGAGTGCCGACTGGGTCGTCGGGTGCACCGAAGGAGTCTTTTAGTGCATCGTAGAGTTTTGCTGTCGACTGTGCTGAGTCTACAGCTATTCTCTTGTGTATCGTCGAGTGCATCGCTTGGACAGTCGCGGGAGTACGTGGAGTTTCGAGAACGACCAAACAGAGTCGGAAGCTCTACTCTGGTGCTTTGCAGTGAAGCTATCTCCACCGTTATTGCCTGACAGTGTGAAGGCTGTGTCGCTGATTGTTCCAGCGTGTTTATAGTAGATCTTCGACGACTGTAAAAAGTGTTATTGGAACTGTCCTGATTAATATTAGTTAAATAAAGTGTGTTTTGATACTTCATCAAGTGTCGTCGTTATTCACTCCAAATCTACAAACCCCGTACGAACGTGAAGGAAGTAAATAACGTAACAACTGGTGTCAGGAAGAGAAAAACGTAATAATATACAAGATAATCCCCTTAAAGGGCCATAACACTTCACACAATCATACATGGTTCAAGAACGAGCTGGCTAATTTAAATTTCAGTTTAAAGCAAATCAATACTATAAAAAAGCTAATGTTTTTTATAAAATATACAAAATGGTATTATTAAAAGTCCACTTTTTTAGCGTTGTTAAAATAATGGCATTTAAAACATTAATCCAGAAGTACGTTCCAAAATTCACAGTTTGCCGTGTTCTTTCATAATATTTTTTTAATAAAATAATATGTCATTCATAAGTTTAAAACGTGCTACAAGCTAGACAGAGCCATAAAAATGGTGAAATACAGCAGCAAACTCATGCAAAATTAGCTTTTTGGAAACGGTACTACTGTGAAGACATACTGACGATAATAAAAATAGGAATTTGTAGGAATATCATTACAGTTAATGTATCTTTCAGTTTTAATACTATCGAATACTGTAATTTACTCATTGTTAAAAATCTTTTTGAAAAATTGATGTAAGCGCTAACGATTTCATTTATTACGATTGTATAACATTTCATTAAGCCATCTTAAAAATTCATTTTAAAATTATCTTCTGAAATAATTAGTCAACTTTGAACTTTTTCTGTGCATACTACAGACACAACTTTTCTTTATTTTCTGTCTAAGACTGGTGAATTTAAAGTTATATGCAGAAAAGGTAATGTAAAATTATTACACAATTCTCAACAATTGTCTAAATTTAAGAATTTTAAAATAAAGATTATCCGAGAGACGATTTTTTCTGAATAGTTTAAAAAAATAGAAAACAAGATATACCATACTTAAAAAGAGTATAAATTTTTTGCTACAAATACCTGCTGATTGTAGATATCCAATCCGGATATAATATCAAGTGTATTTGGATCAATGACATTACTTTTCTGTTCTGAAAAAAAAAAAAAAAAAAAAAAAAAAAAAACAAGGCAAATGTTTGTAAGTTATTCAAGAAATAGTAGAATTAACTATTTGGCGAATGTTTAGGTGCTTGTAAAAATTCTTATTGGAGACTGAAAACTTATTTCCCGCCATAGTAAGGTGTAGTTCGGTCCGAGGTTCGAATCCCGCGAACGGGCTGCTGCATGGGTGTTTTCGTAGATTTTCCCATGTGTAACGTGTATACCAGCCAGTTTCCCTTAGAAAGTCCTCCACGAAGGCATCCCTTTCCTTAGGCGGATAACCCTAGTGTGCTTTGCCATAATTAAATACACCACCACCACCGTGATGTAATTGGAGGCATACTCGATGCGTATTCGAGAGATCCGGGTTCGACTCCCGGCGAGACCATTGCATATTTTTCACTACTTTACGAAAAACGTAAAACGTAACGAAAAAAGTGGCGCCCGAACTAAAAAAAGGTGGTGGACGACAATTCGTCACCACCAGGATTTGGCGATTGGGTCCCCAGCCACACTTTAAAAGGGAGACACTTTATAAGGTATTTTCTTCGTTTTTTTCCGCATCCCTTCGGGGTGTAATTGGAAGCATAGTCGACGTGTATTCGAAAGGTCCAGGCTTCGAGTCCAGGCGAGGCAGTGCACATTTTTGACGTCTCTTGCTTCAAAAAGAACCTAATAACTCTAAAACTTTATTGAATTTAATATTTAATTTATGCGGAATTATCATCTTCCCATGAACATGCTCTCGTGATGTAACTAGAAGAATGAATGGCTAGCTGTCGGCTGATCTGCTGTTTGTGTCCCAGCGATGGCATAGCAGACTTTTAGTGTTTTCTGTCCTGATTAACCTAGCAGCTCCATACATTAAAAAATCCGAACGAGTTTTTTGTGTTTGAGTATATCTTTTTTGCTTTTCAACTGAAATTATAATGAGCTTCTAATCTTTATGCAGTCTATTTCCCATGATTCCTAGAAAAATTAAGATATCATGTTGGAACTGAGAAACCGGTTGCTTGATAAAATCTCTAAGCTAATTTTAAAATGAATTTTTAGCGGACAGGAGTAATCTGATATCAAAGAGGAAACTACTTGCATTTACATTCTGCGCTTATAATAATAATCATAGAATCTAAATTACTTTCGGATCCTTTTGGAATATCCGTCTTCAAAACTCGGCTGTAGGACAGAGGTACGGTTTTCTTTTTATCTCGTAGAGGCTTTACCATCTGGAAGCAAACAACGATTTATAAAATAAGTAATAAACGATTCAAATCTTATTTTAAAAGGAAAATATTTTAAGATTAGAAAGCAACTAATAACTTTCATTAGTGCTCGCACTTTTACAGTTACGTGCGTAAAGACTGCGTCTATCGCTGCATTCTTTAATTACAAGTGTTGTTTGACGTAAAATATTAATCTTCATTCAAATGACTGGTAGGTAAACAGGTAGGCTGAAGGAAGGCCCGACATCTGTGCATGCAAGTAGGTATATTATCTTGTAGAATCATTAGGATTTTTGGAAGCCGTAGAGATGAAAAATTAGCAACCGCCTTCGCCGGGAATCGAACCACGGACCTCTGGAATACCGGCCCAGTGTGCTACCGTTACACCACGAAGGCACGCTAGAGAAGTGGGGGAAATACCTTATATACTCTCTTTTTAAAGGGCGACTAGGGTTTAAGGGGACCTAGTCGCCAAATGCTGGGTGCGGAGAATCATCATCCACAAACCTTTTTAGTTCGGGCGCCACTTGTAGAGTCGTTAGGTTAATTGGAAGCAGGAAAGATGAAAAATTAGCAACCGCCTTCGCCGGGAATCGAACCACGGACCTCTGGAATACAGGCCCAGCGTGCTACCATTACAACACGAAGGCACGCTAGGGAAGGGGGAGAAATACCTTATAATCTAACGGCTACCATTGCACACTGCTAAGTTATCGGCCCAGGCCGAAATCCGAGGGAGAACACCCCGAAGTATCTCACCCCTAATCCCCCACCAATAACCTCTCGAGAGGATTTCGACTGGCCGTGTATTTTGAATGTCATCTTTCCGCATAGACACTACACGCTTACAAACATCCATTCCTTCTCCGGGATTCGAACGCAGATCCTTCGGTAAGGCAGTCAGCTTCACTAATCACTATTCCGTCTGCGCGGTACTGATAGAGATGATGCAGGGGTAGATTCCTGGCATCTAGCAGAGGTTAGCAGAAATTGTCTCTGCCTTCTCAGAGTGAGTTTATTGCTACAAAAGTAATTTTCGCACTGCTAAGACAAGGGCTGAGAGTATATAAATGATATTTTACAGATGATTTTGTTTTTTCAGTACGCAATAAACAGTTTGGTCTTAAAGAAAAAAAGCGTGTTTCTTAACCAAACATGTAATTTTAGGACATAATATATAACATAATACTAACTAAATTAAAATTAAATTAAAGTTAAAAGAATACTAGAAATAAACAAAAAATTAGATTAAAACTAAAACTAAAATGTACTTTTTCCGTTTTGCCGGAGCAAACGATAAAGTCGCCAATAATGGCACAACTCATGCCAAAAGGAATATCTTCGCTGGTAACCTTTTACGCTTCATTTTCAAAACAAGTCGCTGCCATTTCTTATCAGATTGATTGATTCTTTTAATACTGGCATACAATTACATAGAATTTTTGCCTAGATAGTTAAATTTTATGCCCTAAGACCGGTAATTAAATCAATTAGGATTCAATCACACGGCTCACCCGAAGGCGAAAATATAGAAAAGGCAAAATCAAGGGTTAAATTCATCAATTTTAATGAGAATGCGCTATCGAAGTAAAGCACTGCGGTTTTACATAATTTCTGAGTAAGCTATTCGTGAGAATTGAAATAATTCTTGCATTTAAATTTGTATTCCAAATTAACATTTAACTTGAAATTAATGTAGATAATTACTGAGAGAATTAGATTTTTTTGTAGCTTAGTTTATGTGAGAGGAGATCACTTGGGGTCGCGGTATACGAACCGGCGAATCAGGATGTTGAACCATGATAGCATAGTAAATTCTTAAACTAATGACTTTTTACAAATTTATTGTCTTTTTACAAAATTTTAAACGATATTAAAATGTTTACGCCTTCAAAAATAAAAAATTCTTAGAACTCACATTTGTTAACATTTTTTATGTGTGTACTGTATGTTGTCGCCAACAAAGTCTGCTTGGCGAGATTTGCGCCGGCGAAACGGAAAAGTACCAACTCAAATTATGCAAATAAATTTAATAAAAGTTATGAGCTTAATTATAGTTTTATTTAAATTTTGTAGATTATTTTTTTTAATTTGTTTGGTTGTTTTATCGTTATTAATTTATTTTTAATTGTTTTTCAATTGTTTTAGATTAATTGTTGCTTTGCTGGAAAGAAGTGTAACTGAGTGAGTGTTCCTAATTTGACTAGTGCTGTTGACAGATATCTTGTCCAATGCACTTCGAATTTTATCATTCTGAAAATTTAGTTAATCTCCGTTTGTTGATTAAATCCCTCTTATATGCATCAACATTGTTGGTAAGTACACACAGATTATTTGCCACCGTTAGCAGGCAGTGGAAACTAATGTGATCAAGGTAGACGCAGTAGTTGTTTAGAAGCACTTAAACAACTTTTAAATTGTTGATAATTCTACAACTATTGCATGCAGATTAACTAAAGTCATAAAAACCTTAACCGGGATATAAGAATAACATAATTCAGTTCATAAGATCATAGAGTATAGATCCAATCACAAAAATCACCATAATCACCATCACTCTGTTCACCATAGTTGCATCGCCGTGGTACGATGAATTAACTGAATTTTAGCCCTCGAAGCTTCGTGAAAGAGCCAATATGGCGCGCAGGCTGAAATGTTTGGATACCCTCGTTCAGACCATTCTATAACCAACTCGATCCCCAGATTTGTCCTCTACCGATTTAATTTTTTTGGGTTACCTAAAAAGCCTAGTGTAAGTATTCTCAACCGGTGGTACGCAAGAGAAAAATAGGTGGTACGTAAGGAAGAAAATTATTTTTAACTATTAAATTCAAAAATTAAGACCACAACATCTTGATTTTCTTTCTCTAACATTCGTCAATTTATGCCATCTGAGCTTTGTTCAAGAGTGGTGGTGTATTAGTACTTTGTAGTGGTGGTACTAAATGTTTTCAATTTTTGTTTAGATGGCAAGCGTTAGTCAAAAGGTTGAGAAACGCTGGCCTAGTGTATGAAACCCTGGTGGAAGCGGACATGAACCTAATAGTACGCATCGCTGCTGCAAGTGATTGTGGTGTTGAAACGCTCGACTATCTTGCAAACGTTCGTCTATCGACGCGTCATCATTGCGAGGATACGAGGCGTGCATTGCATCTGCAGGCTGCAACTTCAGGCATCTGATTTAATAGTATCATTTCAAACAATACTCTCTCTTTGTTAGAACCCAGCCTTAGTTATTATCTTTCTTTTCATAGTTTGTCACTGTAAGAGTGGCAACCATCTGATATTTGTTGCAGTTTGTTGTAGTTCTACGGATTTTGAAAATTAATATGACGCTTTGGAATTTTATATGTAAAGTTATTTTACTTTAAGTTTACAGCCTGAGTAAAAACTTTAAGGCCAGTAAAAATTTTGAGAAAATGTAAAATGAAATAAAAGGGATTCAAATAATATTAATTATTAAAGTTCATTGATAAGAAATAAATGCTATAACATAATTTGTAAATACATATTATGAGAAACTGTGGTTTATTTACAAGTTTGTATTTCTGCCTGAGTAAAAACTTAAGGCCACCAGTCTTTGTTAAAAATAAATATAATATAATCATGTAATTACCATTGCAACTACTAGCTTGTGACAACGCTGCATTTTCATATTTGTCATATGGTTTCTTCGAAGTATTAGTGATCTTTGTGAATGGCGAATGGTAAGAAGTTAACTGATCGTGAAAGAGGAGAATCGAAGCTTTGTCTTCAACAGAATGAGTAGTCGTGCTATTGCGATAAAGATAAAGGACTATAGTCAACAATTTTTTAAATTGAAAAAATTATGGTAAAAATACTGGGGAAGACCTAAAGCTTTGTGTGATGAAAGTTTTGCTAACTTTATCTACTGTACTCAACCAGGAAACTGATTCCGACGAAATCATTTCTGGTTTCAGGTTTTAAAATTTTGTCAAAAACGTTTATAACACAATTAGAAGGTCTGGAAGGTGTCACTTATACAGCAAAACTAAGTCGCAGTTGCAGAGACACAAAATAGAGCGTTTGAAACTTTGGCCAAAAGTCATGACCTGGACAACCAATGGATAGAAATTATTTTTCTGACGAAAAAAATAGAATTTCGATGGACCAGATGGCTGGAATTTCTACTGGCATGATATAAGAAATGAAAAAATATTCTCCCGCGTCAATTAGGTGGAGGTCTGTCATGACTTGGGGTTGTTTTGCTTACAATGGTGGGGCTCAGTTGCATTCGTTTCAGGTAGAATGAATTCCACAGGATACCAAAAGTCCCTTCAAATCATCTTTTCCCAAAGGCTGAATGTTTGCTGGAAAAAATTGAAATATCAGTAAGACAATGCATCGATCCATCGAGTAACAGCACAAAAATTGGTTCCAAGTCGACAATGTTGAAACGTGAAATGGCCAGCTAGATCACTGACCTCAACAATCGAGAACCTTTGGGGGTGTCTAGCAAGAAGAGTTTGCAAATAGAAGACATTTTTACATCAACAACAGAGCTGAATCTACTATCCAGATGAATGGTATAAAAACCGACTCCACCCTTGTCAAACTGGTTTCATCCATGGAAAACAAGAATATTGAAGAATTTCGAAGAAATTCTCCTACGCAACATTCTAAGAATTTGTAATTTTGTCTTTATATGTTATTTATGTGGCCTTAAAGTTTATACTCAGGCTCAATATCATCTGTGGTGTTTCTGTATATTTTTAATAATAAAATATTTTCAAATTAATTTTTCTACTTTTTTGTTACTTTTTTAAGCTTAATAATTATCAATCAAATGGTATTTTAATTTATCAGTTTAAATGTTTCCATTTTCTCAAAACTTTTTACTGGCCTTAAAGTTTTTACTCAGGCTTTATTAGGAGAAAGGAGAACGGGTAGTTCTTGCAAATCTCGAACACTCTGTGTGTGTCTCTTCGAGCGTATAGCGATAACCTTATACGATAACAGTTAATAATCTTATATGAATATTGGAACAACCAATAATATTATATTATTACTGGCTGAAGATTATTGGTTTTTATCGTGTTCCGGATCTTCATGCGTATTTCTGAACATAATTCTGAAACTTGCTGAATAGGTAACGTATTTTCAAAGATATTTTAAAAGAGAATGTTTTTTTCGTTTCAGTTCATATGTAGAATTCTTTATCCACTTACTTTTCTGCAATCAAAAGCTGACATTTCATCTATGAGTGTTGATAACTCCAAGGCCACATCATCCGATCTAGTGGTCAAGTCCTTAAAAGAAAGAAATTATAATTATTAGGATAGTTTTATATGAGGAGGCGTGAAGTTGTTGATAATTATCGAGGCGATAATCAATGAAATGTGGTAAATTGGCTGCGTTATTAGTAAAAGAAGTTTGTCTTCAGTAACGTTCAAATATCTCTAACATTCGCCAAATTCTATCACATACCTCAAATTGAAGAATAAACTGTTATCTTACTCAAGGTTTTAGGTAGGGGAATATATCTTAATTTCTAATTTCTGCACCCTTGGTTTCAACATTTGGCAAAATTGCTGTTTTTTGGCATACTTTAGGGTACATATGAGACAAGAGGCAATCCACACATGGACTTACCGTACCACATTTTTCCGTATCATAGTCGTAAAAAATAACCAATAATTTTTCGCCAGTCACAAAAGTCTTCAATAAAATGACGATTTTTCATGGAGGTGTTGAAAATCAGAAAATAACAAATATTCTTTAAGTGTTTTTGACGTGTAATAAGCAATAAATAACTTTAAGTGCTTACATATTACAGCAACCGTCTTGGCGCAAATTTGTGATTATTTACAAATGAAAAGGTAAAAGTTAGTTACGGAGTACAAGTTGGTGACTTTACCGATTTTTTTTAAGATTACGAATTTATCTCTATTTGTCACAAGTTCGCAAATATACCGGTTATCATAAATTAAGGAAAAATCACAAAAATAGCGATAACTCCCTCAAAAATAAGTCAAACCGTGTAAAATTTGAATATGTTGCCAAGTAGAGTAGCTGAGTAAAACTGGCAAATATGCAAATCATGGCACTGCACTCGGAATACGTCATCTGCGAGGAGCATAAAAGTCCATGTTTAAGAGAAAGCCCACATATTTCACTGTGATAGTGACATCAGAAATCTGAGATAGCCAATTCGTAACAATGACCTCCAGGCATCATTTGCCTGCAGAACTACGATAGAGAGCCATTGGGAGACTACAGGCAGGACGAAGTCAAACAGAAGTGGTTAGATGGCTAAATGCGAGTCCTCCTGTGGTTCATAGACTTTGGAGGCAATTTCAAATCACAGACTCAGCACCTAGGAGGTTCAGCCAAGGACGGCCAACTGCTACGACGAGCGCCGATGGCCGATATTTGACATTGCACTGACTACCAATAAGTATTTGGACACCTGTGATAGAAAAGAAAAACTAAATTTATTCAAAATCAGTAGTTGGTAGAGCGTCCACGAGAGGTAATTACAGCGTGGACCCTCCGGGGCATACTTTCTACAAGTCTTTGTATGACAGCTAGTGGTATTTTCTTCCACTCGGCTTGGAGAAGACATAGAAGTTCTTTCACAGATTTTGCACAGGTAGTGCACCCCTGAACTCGGGGATTCAACTTGTCCCAGAGGTTCTCGATAGGGTTCGGGTCTGGACTCTGTGCAGGCCAGTCCATTCGATGAACTCCATTGGCACCATATTCTCACTCCATGGCCTTGGTTAACGTCGAAACATGACAACTGGCATTGTCGTCCTGAAAGTAACAGGGGTCCAACCCATAAAACTGCCACAACGTAGGAAGCACATTGTCATCCAAAATAGTGCAGTAGGCATCGGAGTTGAGCTTACCATGAATGGGGACCAAGGGTCTCAGCCCATACCAGGAGAAACACCCCCAGACCATAATTCCACCTCCGCCGAACTTGACTGTTGGCCCAATGCATTCTGGCAGGAGAGGTTCTCCAAGTAGACGCCAGACCCAGACCCTGCCATCCGAACGGTAAAGGGTGAACCTTGATTCGTCACTCCAAAGAACCCGTTTCCACTGATCTGTGGTCCAATTTCGATATGCTTTGCACCACATTAACCGAGCAGCACGGTTGGACTTTGTGATCAAAAGCTTATGGGCAGCAGCACGACCATGAAAACCAAGTAGATGTGCTTCCTTACGGATGGTATTCATTGAAACAATACTTCGGGATGCCTGTTGAAACTCCTCGCGGATGAGGGCCATCGGTTGGGTGCGGTTCTTCCGAATTTCTCTGGACAGCACTCGTCGGTCTCTATCTCCCAGTTTCGTTGGTCTGCCGACTGGGGGCACATTCCGACAATCACCGCTCACCTTCCACTTCTTAATTACATAAACCACTGTCGATTTTGGGTACTTCAAATCGCTAGATATGTCCCTTAAGGATCGGCGACATTTGTGATACCCGATAATTATACCTTTCTCGAAATCAGAGAGCTCCGAACTGCGAGGCATCTTGCATGCGACTAAAGCCGATACTGTTTCCTACACGATATATACCGGCGGAGTCCGTGACATACCTTAGGACCGCAGATATCGTCATTTGCCTAGGTGTCCAAATACTTATTGGTAGTCAGTGTATGTACATTCACGAATAGAACCGCTACTCCGACTCTTCTTAAGACCCTTCCTTGTTGCAGCCACCGGTAGGTTGGTGTCAACGTCAACTGTGCTTCACGAAGCTTCACGAAGGGCGAAGGGTGGGGAAGCTTCATGAAGGGTGTGGCGAGGCTAACAACCATTTGCGTGCCGCTCAAGTCACGCCATAGGAGGGACCGTTTGCAGTGGGCACGACAACACGTCCACTGGACGCCTGAGCAATGGAGGGCTATCCTCTTTATGGATGAGTCCAGGTTTAGTCTAGAAAGCGATAGTAGGCGTTATTTGATATGGAGAGAACCTGGAACCCTATATCATCCGTGAAAGAGATGCATGCGGAAGAGGCAGTGGCATCTCTTTGGGTGGACGCACAGACCTCCATGTTTTTCCAAGGGGAACCGTTGCTCATGCTCATGTTTATAGAGATGACATCCTTGATGCTTATGTGCACCCATATGCGGGGCCAATAGGTGATGCTTTCCTGTTACAGGACGAGAATGCAAGACCACACAGGGCTCGCATCGTATATGATTATCTTCAACAGGAAACAATTATGCGCATGGAGTGGCCAGCTCGATCCCCGGACTTGAATCATATCGAGCACGTTTGGGATGCTTTAGGGAGACGTCTAGCTACTTTCAATCCGCCCCCTTAGACCCTTGCCGCACTTGCAACTGCTTTGCGAGAGCAATAGCTCTCGCTTCCTATGGAACTGATAGACCATCGCTGAAGCATCACACATCGCTGAATGTGCTGTATTGCTTCTAGAAGCGATTATATTCCATATTGAAGGTACTTTTACTATAGCAAACTGACATCTTCGATTTGTTCCTTTTATACATGTGCTAATTTCTATACTAACCATAATTGTCTGGTAATTTCTTTTTATGTTACTTGATACCTTACTATGTGTTGTATATTGTGGGTAAGTTTCATAAAATTCTACATGTAACTTTTTCAGTAATCGTGATTTTTGTGATTTTTCCTTATTTATGATAACCAGTGTATTACCATCTAAAATAGACATTTTAATTATGAAATAAGGGTTATAGCATACAAAAATGAATAAATAAATAGATTTTTCGCAAATGGCTTTAATATATAATTGAGTGGCCCTTCGATTGGTGACAAATTTTGTTCAATTTTGCTGATGAAACCCCTTTTCTGGTTACTGGGATAGTTTTAATTTGGTTTTAGCTTCAATTACCTTATGGTTACCGAGACTTTTTTTTTAACTTTATACGACGTCATCATTAGTCGAAAGGGATTTGAATCTCGAAGGACTATTAGTTTCGTTTTGGCATTTTGCGTCGGACTCATAAATGTCGGTTCACTTTTCAAACTGTTGCCACAAAATGTTAGAGTCCTGCATTATATTTGAAGAAATTAAATAATGAAAAATCTGCATAAATCTATGTATATTTCTCGTATTGTGATAAAACAACGGTACATAGAGTCATCGAATTTTGAATAACGTAATCCTCCAACGAATATGAGCATGTGGAAGACCAAATTTGAAATTTGAAATTTGTTTTATGATCGATTTCCTATTTTTTAAAACTTTGACGAATTTTTGATTAACAAACTCAAGGATTTCAAAGCGAGCAATGGCAACGTTGTGCAGAAAAAAAAACATTTTTATCTCCAGCGCGTGAGTCTCTGTATCGGAAATTCTAAAGATATGCTCGTTTTAAAACTATTTTGCGATATTGCTGTTGCACTGGATCTTATGGTTTAAGTGCGAGGAACATGATATTTAATAAAGAAAGGTAACACACAAAATTTTAAAAAACGCCCCTTTGGACGTAATTTAAAATCTGAAACATTTCAGATTTTTTTTTTTCGGGGGGAGGGACGTCATTTTGTTTTTACGAAGTAAAGGCTTTTTTTTTTTTTTTTTTTTTTTTTTGTAACTCGACATTTTTTCCAACAATCTGCTAGCCGAATTACACTTATGCTAGAACTTTTATGGAACAAAAGTGCTTAATCATGACGAAGAGTGGGTGCGAAACTGGGAGAAAGTGCAGAATCGCGCACTGCTTCGCGCGTTTTTAAGAATTGCACATACGCGGTATCCATGTACACATCAACCTATTTTCACTTTAAAAAAACATCCCAGAATTGCACAAAAATGGCATTACGCACACTCTTGACTTTATCCATGTACGCAAGGACTTATTTTCACTTTAAATTCAAAGAAAATTGACAAAAATCGAATTCTTCTTACTCTTGTGAAAAGCGCCAAACAAATAAGTGGGCGATTCTGCACTTTAGTAGCGAAATTGTTTCTAAGTGCTTATTAGCTAAAATCACGATCGGAATTTTCCGGAAAATGTCACATGACATGTCTCGTGATCTCTCATTTCTCTGAGACAAAATAATCTGTGATTCGAACTGTGCACTTCTCAGATTATTGCTAAAGTCCTACCTAGTAACCTTTATCGCCTTACCAAAATGTCGCCAAACTACCTGTTACCATATTCCAAAGATTAGCTATGGTGTCTTCTGAGTGTTGCTATTAATATTTTTTAAGTTGATGAAACTTCTTATTTTGTTTTTTGGGTAGCGGCCATCTTGTAACTGTGCGTTCTTGGCGTAAAAAAAATCGCCAAAAAAACAAAGGGGCACCGCACCCAATTGTAAACTTTCATCTAGCAAATTTTTGGCTCTGTTCTCCGTGTATATAGCAGTCTATTTTCTATTAAAAAAGGACAGACAACTGCACAAACTCGGCATTGCTCGCAACATCAGCAGTGCTAGTAGGGTATCTATCAAAAGCATTTCATCATTCTTCGGCTTAGCAATTTTACGACAAAATACTATATTGTTGCAGAAATTTTACATGAGTTTCTTTCAATGATAGCAAATTTTCCAAGCGAATATTTCTAAAACTGAGTTTAAGGTAACAAAATTTCACGATTTGTCTATAAAAACGGTTAGAACTTGAAATACTATAAGAAAAAGAAAGCAATTTGAAAATGGCGATGTTGTTTGACTAAAATGCTGTTAGGAGGTTGCCTGAAGAATGCCCATGCACATGGTTGCCAAAGTTTGACACATACTTTGAATAATTTGGAAACTTCTACTAATGTGCTTGCGATAAAAAGTAAGTATTTGTGTATTTGCTTTAAATGAAAAAACAGGTATAATGAATAAAAAAATCTGATGTGTACACCACATGACTTCCTTGTACGGAATACTAAATTATACGCATTTTTTCTTGCATTTCATTTAAACTTATTGGATTGAATTAAATCTACTTCGCCGACAGCGCATAAACCACAATAGAATAAATGCATTCTTTAAAATTCACTCTAGTATTTGTTTACCATAGCGACACTCTGGCGCTAGATTCACTTAACAGTATTAATAATTATATAACAGTTAACTTATATAATAATTATATAACAGTTAACTTATATAATAATTATATAACGGAAACTAAGTTAACTGTTATATAATCCAATAATTATATAACAGTTAACTTATATATTTCGTTCATATTATAACTCATAATGCACAAAATTTTTATCATTTAAAGAATAGAATTATCTAATCGTTGCCACATGTTCTATTCAAATACTATAATAAAGCTAGAACGATGTATAAAAGAAATTAAGCAAACAAAAACAAAAAAGAAACAGTTTTTCACAGACGATTGAGTATTTCTCATTGAATTAATTCAATTCTCACTTCGCGAGAAGGCAAAAATACATAAAAACTCAAAATATCTATATTAAAAATTACGAAGTAAATCTCAAACACTTATTCCCTCGAAAAAATTCCAGAAAGAATTAAGCATGATTTAATTGGCAATAATAAATGAATGCGTTATCTTTGTTGTTGCGAAGCTAAGTTTCTCTAGATTGGCAACAAATCCACTAGTCTCCTGTTTCAAATGTAAACATCAATGACCGCCATTAAAAAAAGGCTTAGCGGCACTTAGACAACTTTAAAATTGTTGATAATTCTAAAAATATTGAATACAGATTTACTAAAGGCATAAAATCCTTAACCGGAAGATAAAAAGAACATAATACAATCATTTTTAAAGCAAAAAATGTACAATTTACAAACATATAAGAGTAAAGAAACTGAGATCACTGAGCCGGGTAACAGAGTGGATATATATAGAAATATATTTATATACGTTTGGTGCGGCCGATTGCAACCAAAATACGAGGTGCACATCTACATGTTATAGCAGTCCTATATACAAAATTTCAACGTCCTGCGGTACGTACGTACGTACATACGTTCGTACAGACGCCACGAAAAATTCTCTTCAGAATTAATTTTAAAGCAGTTTTATAATTTTTTTTGGAGGAAAAGAGTATTTTATTCTGTCCTTACGTACAGATATCAAGCAAAAACATCGTTAAATTGCATTCGATAGCGGTCCAAATGGATATTTTCGTTGAAATATGCTGCCTGAAACTTTTCGCGATTACAATACTTCCTTTTTACTTCGTACAAGGAAGTAAAAACGTTTACTAATTTTTTGAAGTTTATGAGGGTAAAAAGGAATCCAAGTGTACAAATATTTCAAGACTTACCGACATTTATACTTGGCCACTTCCTGACACTTTTAAGAAGAAATAAAATTTAGATTAAAAAAATTAAATTTCTTTATTGTTTACTTTTACCATAGAAATAAAATCTTTATAATTTCCTGCATGCAACTAATTTAATCAAACACACGAAATCATCTCCTCCTTGCATGTGATAAATTAAGTCTCGAGCTTGAATTTAACGAGACAGAAAGTTAAATTTGAAAAAGATTTGCTTTACAAAATGTATGCGAATAGAAATCTGTGAGAGTTGTTAACATATGCAGTGTGTTAGTTCTATGCATTCAAAATAGCTGGTATGTACAAATGATAAACGTTAGCCAACTCCTTTGGCCAGTGAATAAGGACTTCCTTAGCTCCGATATTTTTTCCTGTAATAGGAGCTATATGCCGTATATACACCGGTTGTGAATTTCTAGGGTATATACAATACTCTTTCCCAATGTGGCTTCATTTGTAATAGTTAAACTATGAGAGCATTCAAATTTGCACTAAGAAGCACAAAACATATGTTAGGAAAAATAAATACATCAATCCCATAAATGTCCCTGCGGCGAAATGGCCTCAGAAAATAAAAATACACTTCACCGGTTTTAAAATACTACGGTGTTTATTTATACGAAAACGTAGTTAGAACACACTCACATCTTTATTATTATTTTTAAACTCAACTGCCAGATAGAATATTCTAAGTAAACAACATAATTTCTGTTGCCATTCCAAAAAGGTAAATATGAAACGAAATAACTGCAATCATTTCCAACAGCCTCCAAAATGGTATTAAAAAAATTTAGATTTTTCATTTCTCTGCTGCCAAAGCTATTCAAAAAGGTATCTTCAGTTGGCGTACTAAATCGTTTCACATTTGTAATAATCTTTCACTTTTAGTCAACGATACCAGTTCTAATCCATCTGGATTATCAGCTTTTAAAGAAAGTATTACTTTTTATCAATAAAGAGCGCGAATGACTTTATTCCCTTCATTAGCTGGAACCTTTATCGAATTTTCTGTCTAATTGGTATCCACATGATCTCATAGTATGCTTCCTTTTCGCCATTTTCACTTCTGAAGCTGAAGAAGGTGGTTCTATTTGACGTTCGGAACTACTCCTGTAAATTTATGCAACATACGCTGATTGTCGTTGCTATAGTATCTTTAACATTTAAGTGTGATTGGTTGCCAAAAGTTGCGAACATCCACAGAAATGAAAGAGACTAAAAGGTGATCAGTGCAAATCATTTAACATCCGGACAACTTGTAAGGTTTATCCTAAGTTTTTAATAGTTATTTTAAGCTAAAAATCCTTTCTTATCTCTCCTAATTTCAGTTTACAATTTCCTACCAGAATGGGTTTTTAGAATCGCGTTTAATGCAAATAAGTAGGAGTACTATTTAAGTCGAAGTTCCACTGACTTTGAGAAAGAGCCTCAGAAGTTCTGACTAGCGCGCGTTTGACATTTGGTCACGTCTCTCTAAGCTGCTACTACTCTTGGTCGTATTACGAGCCCTTGACTTTAGTTAAGCATTAGTTAAGTTCTTATTTCTTGTTATTTTGAGTTCAAGCCCAAGTAGAGGCTTTGCTGTACGCCCTGAGAAAGAGGCCAACTGTTCATTCTTATTTTGAGCAATAAAGGGCAGTTAACCTTTCTCGAGTATTATGTTCCTGTTACTGAAGCGATTATTCGCTTAGCTGTTCACTAGGTTCTTCCACATTTAGTTGTTAGACAAAAGGGTGGAATCCCAGAAACGTACTTAATTAATACATACATATAGAAGCAAGTTCATTTTTAACGGACACATTTTAGAGGCAAGAATGATGCCTGAATATAAATTCAGATGGGTGCGACTCTACATGACGAAGAAGTTTATACCTGAGTTTTTGTTTTGTTTTTCAATGCATATTGTTACGAAATATACAAGCGCGGTAAGATGGCTTTCCCGTAAAGCAGTTTTAGGGTTACCATAAAATGACAAGGGAATGCAGGGTTGCCACATTTGGCGAGAAATCGCCCATTTGGCGACAGAATTGGCGATATGCAATGGACGGATGGAGAACCTTCTGAAACGAATTCTTACCGGTTTAGCTCAGAATGTTCTCGAACACAAGCCGAAAGCTATATAAACCCTGCTGGTTCGCAGTCAGTCAGTACGTGTCTCTCATCGAGTGTCTCAGAGTGTGCCTCGTCGAGAGGGTGAGTGAGAGTGCCTCGTCTAGAGTGCGAGTTAGTTAGCGTCGAGTGTGTCTCGTCTAGCGAGTTGACAGCCGGGCAGCGAGTGCCGAGTGGGTCGTCGAGTGCAACGAAGGAGTCCGTTAGTGCATCGCGGTTAGTGCATTGTCGAGAGAGCGTGTTGAGCTCCGGGAACGACTGAACCGAAGAGTCGGGAGCTGTGCTCGTGTGTCGTCGAGTGCACCGCGAGTTGTAGCGTGGAGAGTCTCGAGATTACGGGGAGTTCCGAGAACAACCAAGCAGAGTCGGGAGCTGTACTCCAGAAAGCAGAGTCGGGTACTTTGCAGGAAGCTGTCTCCACCGTTATTGCCTGACAGTGTGTCGCTGATTGTTCCAGCGTGTTTATAGTAGATCTTCGACGACTGTAAAAAGTGTTATTGGAGCTGTCCTGATTAATATTGGCCAAATAATGTATACGTTTCGATACTTCATCCAGTGTCGTCGTTATTCACTCCAAATCTACAAACCCTATACGAACGTGAAGGAAGAAAATAACGTAACAACTGGTGTCAGAAGAAAGAAAAACCGTAACAATATTTTTTTTGTTTTGTCATTTTATGAATCTCTATGAATGTCTGCTTTCTGTTTGTAGTATCTTTTCCCGTCAAGGGAAGATAACAAATAGTAGCGTATTTAAATATTTAACAGACAAAGAACTTATACCTTGAAAAAGCAAATTTTGTGCACACACACACACAAATCAGTAAACCATTTGTTTCTCATTAAGAAGGAAACGCGCTTCGTTAAGGCCTCTATAACAAGGAAGCACCTTTAAATTTATTAATTTCAGTTCGCTCTTTAATTACGTTAAGAATTTGACGCCTAGACTACATAATTCAGTCAACAGATATTTCATGAAATAGGTCAGCACGTAATACAAAACCCACTCAGCAGTATAATTCTCTCGGACATAAAAATTCTCTTTTATTTACTAGGATGTGCAATAGATGGCAGCAGCAACACTGAAAGAGAAGTTTTACCGTGAAATAGAAATTCATCCCCGCCGCTCTCATTCACCGTTTAGTTTACAACTAAACGTTTCTTTTAAAGTCTTATACCAGACAACTAATTTTTTTGTAAAGTCTTACAAAGCCTAAAACGAAATCATAAAAACAAATATATTTGCTATTTAAACTTAACTTGCTTGCTATTTCTGTGAGGTATTGTGCGAGCCTTGTTTTGTATACATGTAAATAATTTTAGTGAAATTATATGTAAATTGTAGTATCTCTTGTATAATGTAACATGAAAGATGGAAGCGTTGCCGGAAAAATAAGGTCCAAGCAGTAAGTTCATTCAACATTGTGATAAATGGTTATCTCGTCAATTTGGAGAGAAATCGCCAAGAGTCACCAAACTTGGCGATCACTTGCCTTCATTTTTGCCCCAATCCTGTGTAACTGTATCTAACCCTATGTAACTGCACCTGTGTATACATTTCAGCAATTTTGAGAAATCGAAGGTACAGGAAACTTCTCCGCTGCCTGAGGTATACCATATGAGATCAGAAGGAACATCAGTTTTCACTTTAGATTAGTTTGTTGTATTGAGAGTTCAGAGTATTAAAAGATTACCGTTTGAGCTTACGTTTTGAGGGATTTAGCATTACCTAGCCTTCAATGTTCTTAATAGTGTTCCGTGCGTATGAGTTTATAATAGATTGAATGTCGACTACCAAAAGGGACACTTCATAGTTCTGGAACTTTCCACAAACATAGTCGTAGAGCTCTTCACAATGTCACAGAGTACAATTAGTAATTATACTTCAAACGACTAAGAGCGTTAAATACAATGCAATGCAGAGCGCATCTAAAGAGCTAAGCTAACCCAGAGATATTTCAGTATTTCAAACTCAAGCTGAACTAACAATTACAGCGACTAACAACTGAGAAAATTACGTTCTCTTTAGTCTTATATACTTTTCACCCAGCCACCAAAATATTCATAGTACTTTCGGCTTCTTGAAATTACTGGAAGGCCTATGAGGGCCGAATACGGTTACAGCTGCATAGAGGATCAATTACAGTTATTCATTTACAATATCCATTGCAGTTATACAACGACCGGACCAAACCGTAGCAAAATGGTCGCCGAGTTTGCCGACTACTGGCGATTTCCCGCCAAATTTGGCGAGAAAAATTAGTTGCCAAACACAATGCCAACTTGGCGAGATCAGCCACATAGCCATTTATCTCAGTGTTAAATAGACTTAACCCTGTAATCTTATTTTTCCGAAAGAGTTTCGCTTTGACCCATTCAGTCTAATCCATCAATTCTTATAATACTATGCTAAAACGTGTTGCTTGTAATTATAGAGTAATATGAAATTAACTATTGAATGGAAGAATGATTTTTATTTTATGTGTCTTAATGTATGAGAGCATTCAGCTGCATACAAGATCAATTACATTTATTCAACAATATACCAATTATAGTTATAAAGTGATCGGACCAAAATGGCGCCAAATAGTCGTCTAGTCTGAAGACTTCTGGCTAGCCAAATTAGCAATATAACCATATGTGTTAAATACACTTGCCCCTGTATTCTTATTTTTCCGGCACATCGTGCTTTTTCTCAGCTTTTCATGTTACATTATACAGAAAAATACAGCAATTTCACATATAATTTCCCTAAAATTATCTATCTATGTATAAAATTTGTAAAACTGCCACTCCCGGACGCGTAATGGCAAACCGCACATTGAGTTGATCAATGTTAAATGAATTTCGCTTACTGCGCATGCTCAGAATAGAATTTGGCGCAACTACAACTTTGGCGAAATTTTAAAAGAAGATAAATACGATATATGGTTGATATTGTGTTATCTGGGCGTAAAC